TAACCATTACGCATATATATATATATATATAACTGTAGAACCTGAGGATGAAGAAGTTATCGAGGAAAATATCCTTTATTTACTAATCATTACATTTTGTGGATTTACAATTGGCATATTTAAGCAGTGAATGCCACTAATTTTAATCATTATTATTATTAAAGAAGAATTCAGTGAGGAAAATTCTCTTTCGAACAATTTCATTTTCATAGCTGTACAATCGTATATATCTGTGAATTACAATAGATAATAACAATCAGTTTCCTTGTGTGTGTTTATGTGTGGGTTAAAGTTTGACAGTGAGGGGAAATACTAAAGTGGGATAATATGGGTGTATAGGATTATGAGTCACAGCTAATTAGATAAGTATATGAATGACTAACTAAATAAATAAACAGCGGTTGACCTAAGGAATTTGAAGCAGAGATAGTGTTGATGATGAACTCAAACGGCTGAAAGAAACCTTCACAGAGAACGGGTATCCACAACGCTTCACAGAGGCCAATAGCAAATTACGTGGAATAAATACAGAGATTGACAGTAACCGGAAGGTCTTGGGGTGGGACCTTGTCAGTGGGTGTGTACTGCTGAAAAGTCCCAAACTAGAAGTTGTTTTTGTTGTTGAGTTTCTTTTTCACTTTTTTAGAAGGTTTTATTCTTAGCCGTAAAAGTGGCAAACTCTAAAGAATGTGTTATGATAAATAAACGTAGTATTTATGATACCATCTAGATAAAATGATGCATTTTATGCTGTTCTACTGTGCATATCAAAGGTATTAACATCTAAGATGCTCTTAATGTTCATTTCGCTACCCTACTATAACTTCCCTTTTTTTAAAAAGACATTTAAATGCTACTGAATAATTAACTGGAAGCGGTCAAAGAAGATTAGATATCACTGTGATTTCTATGTTCAAAAAGCAATATAGAAGTTTCTCTTTTTCAAAATAATAATAATAATTTGCTTTATTCCAAAAACAGTACTAATGATACAGTAAGGAATTTTCAGCATTCAGTACAATATTGCATTTAATTTACTCAAAAAATGACAAAAAATACAAACAAAAATTTAAAAAATAAATAAACATTACATAATAATGATAACAAAACGTTTTTATAGCAGCTATTTAGCAAATTACTCTATGCAATACGGAGAAAAATATGCATAAAGTATAAAATTGCAATAATAATAGTAATAAATACTAAAATAAAATCGCTAAGTTATAATTAAACGATAGAAAGGGTGACACCATAAAATTACAGAAAGATGAACAATGAAAGGGTCGAATTCACTTTGTTAATTACATAGTAACTTATATGTTTCACGTCTAACAGAGTCTTCATCACATAAAATACGGGCTAAATACGGTATTGTAGAATTTTTGTACTTAGTGGTGCGAGCATATGACTTTTTTATATTGACTTCTCGTCCTACCTGATGAGATACAAGGGGATAGTTGTGAATAAAGGGGGTGCAGGGGGTTTGACAGTACGGCCTTTGCCCATTTTGTACCGGAATTTACATGTCTCTCGACTATAATATTGGCGAGCTCACGTAGCAGTGGCATACCACAAGCCCTACTCACAGCATTTAATACCCTTCGTAATATGATATAGTCTTTTTTGAGAAGCCCAGGAAAGATTAATGGAGAGCAATAGAGTACAATAGGTAAAATACAGGAGTTTACAAACTGCAGAAGTAAAGGTTGGCTGATACCTGATTGTCTTAACTTTTTAATGTAGAAGGTAAGACGAAACATTTTCTTAGAGATTGATAAGATGTGGGATGACCATGATAGGTCAGACGAAAGAACTAATCCAAGGTATTTAATGCTTGACTTGGTTTCAATTTCAGGCAATTGTCAACAGATAACATTCTATATCTGCTTTAAGATGAATAATAGTCCTGAAAAGTTATAGATATTTATGTTGACAATGGTTATTGATAAAATTTAAGAGACATACATACATATTGTCTTATCTAGATGTGTCCATCTGTGCAAACTTGAATTCTGGTTAATTTTATTCTTTGAAGTGACGTCGTAGTCAAGTAATCGAACAGTATCAGGGTACATGAGAATGAACTAGCCATTTTTCACTGCATCATTGTAAGATTGCACATTACGCTTAAAACAACGCGCTCAAAACAGACTTCAGTCAGCAGAAATCTGTCACATAGAATAACACCTGATCGTGTTAGTTAGTCTTAGTCAATACTGCGAAGACAACAATTAAGTAAAATTAAAATTCAGTAGTCTGACTGCACAAAGAGTCAAGGAGAGAGATTTTCAAATTGCATTTTATCACGCACCGACAGTAGTTCTAGGTAATCATTAGAAACCCCTGTGAAGTATTAAACAACTGTTTCGTACCGAGCTGACACTCTTCAGAAGTACGCACTCATGACACAAAAACTAGAGATCGAATTCAGGACCTTCAGGTTATAAAGTGCAATTCAGTTGGAATGCGACAGCGCATAAACTCTAACTTCTGACGTCAGTTCACAACAAAATCTAGAAAAAGATTTCATTATTTTAGAGGTAAACATTATAACTTTTTTGACAGAATTAGTAAACTTTCTTAGAGGAAAAAATAAATCCTAACCTTGAACACTAAGCCTGAGTATTAAGACTTTTTTACGAGTTGATCACGAACTGTTATCAGTTAGAGAACCATTGAAAACTAGCAGGGAGTACTGGACAGCTGTTTCATCCCAGTTTGGGAATCAGTGAGGTCCATCCAAATGTCACGTGTGGGGATGGATGTCCCACCGACAACATTGGTTGGGATCGCGCTAAATCCCCAATTGGTAGAAGTCAGAATTCATGAGCCATTGAATCGGGTCGCAGTGTCTGAATGGTATACGAGCTTGCCTTGTAACCGGAAGGTCCTAGATTTGAACCCTGGCAGTGGGTGCGTACTGCCGATGATTCCCAAACTAGGGTGAAACAGCTGGCTGTCCAGTACTCCCTGCTAGTTTTCAGTGGTTCTCTAACTGATATCAATCCGTGATCAAACTCGTAAACACAAATCTAATCCTTACAAACCAACTATAGAATATTAAGACTTTCTTTCTAATCTTAAACAAGCTACTTCATTATTTTCACACTGTTTAACTACGTAGCCATATTTGAGCCTAATTGATGAACATTAGATATGCTAAATTCACCATACCATCCGGTAGCCAAATGGTTAGTCGAACTCTTACAGCCCCTTCATATTGAGTTGGTGAGACATAGTGTAAAGGATACTTTTGGATTCGTTGAAAGGATAAGAGATTTAAATGGTGATAATAAATTCATGATATCATTTAACGTATCTTCTTTATTCACTAATGTACCTGTCATGCAAACAGTGGACTTTATATGCAAAGAACTCAAAAGACGAAACATCGATGTTGGCATTCCTATATCTTTTATGAAAGAGCTTCTCTTAAAATGTACAATGAATGCCCACTTTTATTTAATAAGGAACTGTATAGACAAATTGACGGTGTGGCAATGGGGTCGCCACTAGGACCCATTCTAGCCGACATTTTCCTGGCGAAACTAGAAAATGGGCCTTTGAAAGATGTTATTAATGAACTCGAATTTTATTGTCGATACATGGATGATACTTTTTTTGATTATGAAGAACGAAAATGAGGCAAAGGACATATTGGATAAATTTAATGAGGTACATCCTGCAATAAATTTTACTACTGAGAAAGAAAAAGACTCCAGTATTTCATCTTTAGACGTTCTTATGACCAGAAAAGAGGACGGCACGGTGTTTATAGAAAACCTACATCAACGGGCCAGTACACACATTTTCTCAGCTTTGTGCCCTTTAAATACAAACGCAATCTAATAAAGTGCTTCGTCCACAGAGCAAGAGAGATTTGCTCGGATGAATGTCTTGACGAGGAACTTAACAATATTAAACGGTTGCTAAGTGAGAATGGTTATCCTGAAAAGTTTATTGATAAGAATCTGAATCTGAAACCAAAATAGCACAAGTTACCAACAGTCCGAAAAAGGCCTTGTTCTTACAGATGCAGTTCCTAGGAGACAACACCAGTGAGATACTAACACATCGCCCTAGAAATGCAGTAAAAGAGCATTCCCTGCTGTTCAAATAGGCTGTATCTTTAAAACCACTCCTCTTCTGCGTTCGAGAATAAAAGGCAAACTGCCCAATTTCACCTCTTCCATGTGTATATACCAATTTAAGTGCTCCTGTGGAGCCAGTTACATAGGCCGCACAATTAGGCGTGTTTCGCGTCGAATTTCCGAACATCACCCTGCATGGTGGTTAAGCAAATGACAAACAAAATCTATTCGCAGCGCTATTCTGTCTCATCTTGTGGATACAGAACACAAGACTGACGTTAATCGTGCTTTCAGGGTCATTTACCGCATACCTACGAATCTCAATTTCGCTTTAAGAGTTCGACTACTAAATATTGCTGAGGCTGTGGGGATCCATATTAATAAGCCTAATTTATGCATCCAAAAGAAGTCAGTTCAGTCATTATCAGGTTTGAATAATCCGGAATTTTTGTGAAATTTCCTTAATTTTACTTGATATTCTATTCGCTATTGTATCTTTATTATTATTATAATTTAAGCATGAGGCTAGCAACCCCATCCTGTAAAAATAAACACTGCTAAAGAACCTTCAAGTCTCTAGCTTGAAGCCCTATGTTCCACTGGGAACGTGAAGGAATAAAAAATAGCATCTTTAATGAACTGTAATTGCGTTGATCATACTTTACAAATAGATATTATTTAAAAAACGCTAATATTTTTATTAACTACTAATTTAAATTATTCTGTGTATATAAACATGCATATATATAATTGTAGAGCCTGGAAGAGGAATTTATCGAAAAGAATATTCTTTGCTCAATTATTTTGTGTTTTATACATGTCTGAATGAACATTTTTGCTATATTGAAAACTGATAGTGTTGAATTCCCTTTCTGTTTATTCCTTCTTTTAAAAAAACCTCTTTTACAGACTGTGGAAAAAGTTCTGTTAGCTTATGCAGATCGTGTATTAGCCGATTTTCCAATGTATAAATCAGATCAACGTGTTGCATGTATCCTAGTGAATAATACTCAACAACTTCGAGTACAACTGGAAAAAGTTTATGAGAATATGGCACGTGAAAGGTTGGTTGGTTAAATTTTTTTTTATTAAAATTTTAAATGAAGTAAAACTGAAATAATGTTTAAATTTATTGCAGGAAAATCAGAAATAAATTAAAACAGTTTGAGCTGGATAAGATGATATCCTCATTCTATTTCGTCAGTTTTTCCTTTGCGTTCCCAGTGGAACACAGGGCTTCAATGTAGAGGCTTGATGTTTCTGCAGAAGTAGTGATTATTTTTACAGGATGGGGTTGCTAGCCTCATGCCCAGCCTTCCCTCTTTATCAGACTTCTTTTTTTACTGGCTTAGCGAGATAAAGGAGTGCGTCAGTGGCCGGTGATCGAACTCCAGACCACATGAGAGGTCGACGAGCACTCTACCTCTGTGCCACCAATGCACATACTTACGATTATATGCACAGAACAATTTTTTAACACGCTTCCATGAGTAACATGATATCAGTTAACAGGAGACTTCAGAACTGATAAAACTTATACATCGAAGGTACAAGTTTAGACAGAAATTATTCCAACACTTTGAAATAGGACTTGAGTAAGCACGACAAGAGATGGGAAAGTTAGTTCCTGTTTATTGGACAACAGCATGCTCTTTGCTACTATCATAGATTGACGGATACCCTTCACGTGTTAACTCTAACCGGGTACACAAATTTACATGTATCTACGCTAGCAGTTACATTTGGAGAACAGGAAGTTGGGCACATCTTCGGTTCTCTGAATACACATCAAAAAGTCTGAGTACGTCAAAAATCTCTGTACCTGTTATCATATTATTTGCCCCTTGAGTTCTGAGTGAAACGTAATGTTTCAGCAGGACATACCCATTTCATTTAGTTCTCTACTATCGTTTCCATTTGGCTCCACGGATACCTACAGACTTTCATTTTTGTTTTCTTCATGTCACCTTTTGACACTTGACCTGTCATTTCCCTTAGTTAAACGTTTATGTTCATTCACTCTTATTGTGAGTGATATAGACGCTTTAACCTGCATATTTAGTTGGATATTCAGCATAAGAAATTTTTCTAAATTATATTACTACTTTCACCCATCACTTTTATTGGAATGATTTGTTTTATTTCTAAGTAGATTCGTTAATTGAAAAGGGGATAATAATGTAATATTTCTCAGGTTTCTTCGAAGTGCCTAATTTTTTTTCCTTCACGTTCCCCAATGGAACATAGGGCTCCAAGCTAGTGGCTTGAAGTTTCTGTAGCAGTGTTTTTAATACAGGATGAGGTTGTTAGCCTCATGCCAAACCTTTCCTCTTCACCAGCATTATTTCTGGCTTAGCGAGGTAAGGGAGTGCGTCGGCCGGGGATCGAACCCCGGACCAGCTACATGGTCGGCGAGCGTCCTAACCGCTATGCCACCGACCATCGAAGTGCCTCTAATGCACCATTTTTGTGTGGTATTTCTGCCGTTCTTCTTCAATCCTCTTTCTTTCCATTCTCTGAGAAATTCTTCTGGGTAGTTGTTATCAAGTAACATTTTGAATAGGACATTTATTTTTTTACGCTGGTCATCTGGTGTTGTTGTAAGTCTACGTATTCTGTCTGTCAGCAAAACCTTGTACTAATCCTCGTTTTACTCTGAGTGGATTAGCCGAGTGACAATCAAGGAATCTTCCAGCATGTGTAGTTTTTTCTATGTATATATCCTCATTTTTATGCTGCTGTCAGTCTTTATACTTTACAGTCAAGCATAGGTGTTTCTCTGAATCCATTCTCTATTTTTATATATGCTGAAATTTATTAAGTGTACATGACTGTTTATGTGTGTTGAAGAATTTCACTATATCATTCTTTTTTTATTATTACCACCCTGTTATCTGTATGTCTCCACAACGGGAAACTTACGGAATACTTCGAAGTGAGGACAGGAGTAAGACAAGGCTGCCTACTATCACCAATGATTTTCCTGATTGCAGTATATTGGATAATGCGACAAACAGCTGCAGGCAATGAGGAAACAGGCATAAAATGGACTCACACAAAAACTTGCAGGATCTGAACTTCGCCGATGATATATGTCTGATTTCCCACAAACTGGAAGATATGCAAGTGAAAAGCAACAAGTTGGCACAAGAAGCATCAAAGATAGGACTTCAGGTGAACATAGAGAAAACAGAGGTGATGAAGATTCCTGGGCAACAACACCAACAGCAGCCACAACAACAACAGACAACAATCAGCATAAATGGGAGGAACCTGAAAGAAACAACCTCTTTTACCTACCTACCTGGGAAGCATCGTTTCAACTACAGCTCGACGGAACTGACGAGGATATCAAAGCAAGAATCGGAAAAGCAAGACAAGCTTTCACTGCTCTCAAGTCTGTGTGGAGGTCAACAGCACTCAGCATCAAAAATAAGATCCGGATTTTCCACTCCAATGTGAAGTCACTGCTATTATACGGATCAGAGACTTGGCCAGCGCGTCATAAAGAGCATATCAAACAAGCTACAGACCTTCATTAACAGTTGTCTTCGCTAAACACTACTCAAGATCAGATGGCTGGCCAGAAAAGATCAGCAACAGAGGTCTCTGGCAATGAGCGAATCAACCAAGAACCGATTGTGAAACAAATAGGCATACTCTCAGGAAACCATCAAGTGAGTGACATCACTAGACAAGCTACCGCTCAAGTGGAACCCGAAAAGGAAGCGGCGAGTTGATCGTCGGTGCAAGGGTAACTTGGAGGAGGTCATGTGAAGAGGAGATGAAAACGTGTGGGCAGACTTGGAGCCAGGTGAAGACTCTAGCAGAGAACCGAACGCAATGGAGACGCACGACTGAAGCCCTATGTTCCTCTAGGAATTAAAGGAAACAATAGTAGTAATAATAGGTGTTTCTCTGAATCGATTCTCTATTTTTATTTATGGTGAATTTTATTCAGTCTACATGATTATCTGCGTGTGTTGAAGAATTTCATTATATCATTCTTTATTATTATTACTACCCTGTTATCTGTATGTCTCGACTCTTATTTTTTTAATGATATGAATGATTTAAGTACATTTTCTTTTGCGAAATTCTATGAATACATCACTCACCGTTTATACAAAAGTATATTTTTAAAAGAATGGTTACTGAACAAAGAATATTCTTTTCAATAACTTCATCACCAGGTTCTACAGTCATATACATACATAATAGTGAATGAATTAGTGTCATTAACAACATTAATGTTGTGATAGTGATTCGGATAGGAACACAATAATAACTCAATTCAATGAAGTGCATTCTTCTATGAAATTCACGTGTGAAGAGGAATCCTAAGTTAGAATTACCTTCCCAGACGTCCTCCTTACAAGAAAACGAAATGGTAGTATAAAGAGAAATTTGCATAGGAAAAGCATATGGACAGGACAATATACACATTTTCACAGCTTCGTTCCTCTCCAGTACAAAAGAGTTTTAATAAGGAACTTCAGCCACAAGGTTAGAGCTATATGTTCAGAAGAAGTAGTTGAAGATGAACTTAGGATTGTAGATGACACAATAAGTAACACATTACCAAGAAAGAAGAAAAGGACTATTTTCCACTGCAATTCAAGGGTGACGTACCTAGAGAAATAATTACGAAGAAGTTATGAAAATCAGTTCAAAGAACCTTTAATGCTGGCAAACTTCAAGTGTTATTTTTTACACGACCGGTTGTGATTCGACGATTGAGAGATGAAGTACTTAGACTAGCTAGCCACTTTCAATTGTATCTACCAATTCAATCGCGCTTGTGGAGCGAGTTATTTCAGCCGTTGCTCTAGGAACTTGATTTTTTGTGCTCGAGAACAACTCTCAGTATGGATAAGTTCAATAGTAGACCACCTGGTCAAAACCGGCCGGCAACAAAGCCATCACTGAAGAATCCTTATATATCATCATCTACCGGGTACCAAATAAATTGCCAAAAATACCGCATGCTCCAAACAGCAGAGGCTATCGCAATTCACGTGAAACAACCAGTGCTTTGTGTGCATAGGAAGCAATTCCAGCCACTACTACTACCCTGGATGACCTTAAGCAGAGACTATATATTCATGAATTCATCAAATACTGCTCTTTTGTTTGTTTGACAATTGTTGCCTATTTTAATTTGAGTAACTTTTCAAAGAATTTCTCTTCACTTTCATCAATAGGTAATTTTAAACTCCTATTTTCTTTTCATAATTAACAAAACTTTACGAAAAATCAACCGATTTTAATTTCTTCTTTTGTTTTGTTCTGCTTAATTCATCATTTCAGTCTTGAATCGAACACTCGTGATCGTCTAAGTGCCCTTCAAGGCCGGCTAAATGAAGTTGTTGATAAATTGGCAGTTCAGTTGACAGATCAATTTGAAGCTGGTGTACATTCACATGCACGAGAATGTGGTAGGCTATTACAAAAGGTAAGTGATATCTCTTCAATATATTATTGATTATTCAATGTCTCAATGTTAACATAAATATGTTTTTATAAATATGATCAACGGCTAGGCATTATACATTGAGTCGATTGTTATCTTTAACACTATCATTGAAATTCGATATTTTATTTACAAGTTTAAGTTCTTCTGAGACTGAAATTCTATGCTTGTGTATGCGTGTATTTATGAGTTTGAATGCTTTTTTAATGATTCAGTCAATTAATAACACATATTGAGACCGGTTTAACAGTCTCTTCACTCGTGAAAGTCAACTAGCATTTATAAAAACCAACGTATTCTACTAACAGATATTTAGACTTTAATTCATCACCTTACCCGTTATCTCTCTGTGAAGGTAGGCTTAGTTAAGTGCTGTCTAACAAACCGAGCAGTAGCACTAAGTAGTGCAAGAAGAGACCTAAATGATGAAATGAAACAGATGGAAGAAGAGAAGGCGTTGGTATTAAATAACTAACTATCCTATAAAATTCATTAGGAAGACCAAAAAAGGTCAAAAGCAAAATAAAAATAATTGTGAAACTAATAATGATAACATAAATAAGAGGGAATATAAGGCGTCTACAGTTATACCGTACAAGGAGGGGACACCTGACACCCTACGTAGGATTCTTACTAAAGCAGGAATTAGAGTAGCATTCAGACCAACAAACTCACTCAGGTAGGACAAGCTCTGTAGGTGGACCCATTTAGACAAAATAATATAATTTACAAAACACCTTGCAATGACTGCGAGTGAGGTCAACTACATGGGTTAAACTAGTAGATGGGGGGCAGTCAGATTATCGGAAAATAAGAATTTAGCTGAGGCAAAAATGATTGATCCCACGAAGATAAGTAATTTAGGAAAACAAACTCAGCAATTGCACTGCGTGCATTAACACACAACCACAAAATAGGGTGGGAAAGGGTTAAAATTCTAAAAAGTAATTTTGGTAGGTGGAGAGGGGGATTGATTACTGAACCCTACCCGGTTCATTGAGTCTTCACCAAACACATGCAACAGAAATGACTCAATGCAAATGCCACAGATATGTGTGGAAGATATTATTACCACCAGTCAGTCAAATCAGAGGAGGATAATAAATAATCTTAAAATTCTATTTCATTTCACACACATGAATTATAACATTCTAACAAGTTACTTATTTTGACTATAAAAACACTCGTCTTATTTCTCATCTGATTGTACTTGATTGATAACACTAATATTATTTCTCAATTTACTTTATCTTATATTGATCTTTCACTTACGTATAAAAATGAAGGAAGAAAGTTGTGTGAGTAGTGCCTTGATATGATTATCAGCGGTAATAATTTGTGCTCGAAACGTTGTCATCAGTAGATACTGGTGTATAACATTGTGTGATGTAGTATGTTAAGTTTTGTCAGATATATCACACTGCTAAAGAGTACTATTATTTCATTACAAATAGACAATATCTAGAAAAACGCTGAAGACCAAAAAGCACTGGACAGCTTGTGCACTCAAGATGTGACCGCTTAACCATTTAATCATTCGGCTGGGATTCAACAGTCCATGACTTCAAACTTTGGCTAATTTTTTTCATAAGACTGTAACGTCAGTCAATGTCATCAGTAAATGACTATTCTTATACCCAACTGGGAGGATGCCTTATACTAAAACTACTCGTTAGGAATTGCGGAATTCTCCTCCCGCTCCCCGAAGTTAGTTTCCAGTATACAGTAAGTTGCTATTCATATTGTTAGATCGACAAAACAAGAAACCACTATCCACTACTCCCTGATTTCCAGTGTCTCACTAAACAATATCTGTTCATGAAATTTATTAAGTTTCACAAATTTAACACCTGAATATCATTAATATTACAAGGAAGGTTCATCAGAACACTTCTCTAAAGTTGTCTATATAACTGACAGAAGGCTAGTACTGAAAGCTACAAAAATAAGAAACATATAACCATGAGACAGTATTCGAATTGTAGATATTAATAGTGCCAGATACTCATAGAAGAGTTTGCCCACACTAATCCGCTAAATTGAACACACTTGCAAAATAAAAGGAGACAATAGACTTAAAGTCCTCAAAGTTAGCATAACACAGTGAAAAAAGTAAAGCCAACAGTTGAGACTTCGCCTACCAAATCACTGTTAAACGAATAAACACCTATTGCAGGGATTTGACTGACTTTAGGTTGGATGATACAATGACATTACCTACACAGCTACTGAAAACAAGGAAGTGCTAGAGAACTACTTCGTCCAAGTCGAGAGGTGTTCGCTAGTACTTACCGATGACCATTGTCATTCAGTCACTGCAGTAGAATTCAATGGTCCATGTATTCTAACCTCAGCCAGTTTACAATAATGTAGCGCCACCACCAGCCAGTGTTATTGGTAAGTGTCAGCCCTCACACCCAACCTGCTATAACCCTCTGGTCATGATTTCCCATTAGAACCCAGGTAACTACCTACCTGGGAGTACAGCAGGCTGGAAGTGAGGACAAATACTCGTCACCGATGACATCGGCTAGTGTCAGTCACGCCAAATCATGAATTGGCAGAAGTTATAACTCATGGGCTGGCCTTTGGATTGGGTCCCTGTGGCTCAATGATCTAGGAGCTTGCCTTGTAACCAGAAGGTCTTGGGTTGAAACTTTTTCTGTGGCCGCGTACTGCTTAAGAGACCCAAGAGATTAGGACGAAACAGCTGCCAATTATAAAGATATTGTATAGTTAAAATATCTTCTAGAATTAAGTCAGACTTTCCACGGACGCTTCTTTTCTTTTTCCTTCACGTTCCCCAGTGGAACATAGGGCTTCAAGCTAGTGGCTTGAAGATTCTGTAACAGTGTTTATTTTACAGGATGAGGTTGCTAGCCTCATGCCCAACCTTTCCTCTCTACCAGCATAATTTTTGCTCAGCGAGGTAAAGGAGTGCGTCGGCAGAAGGTTGAACCCCGGACCATGTGCATGGTCGGCGAGCGTCCTAACCGCTATACCACCAACGCACCACGGACGCAGCCACATTTATACCGAGTAAAATGAAGGTAAGCGTCAGTACGAAATTTGTTATGCATGTGTAACTTATGTTGCCTTTTGCTGTTGTGAAGAGCTCACAACTCACTACATAGAGTGGCTATTTTATCCGTTTCTGACGTGGCTTCATTAACATATATACATACTTCTTTACTGATAAAATTCACATCGTGTGCTGCTCACTCAACAGACGTAATAGCTTCTTTCTCTATGTTTACCTTTCTCTGTTCTCCCACCTGCAGTGTAAGCCATCATCAAGTAGTTCAGATAGTTCCGGTGGTCGTGGTGTCAATAAAGAAGATGAGGCAAATGAATGTTTACAACCCTTAATGGATCATTTCGAGTCGATTCTCTCTATCCTTGCTAATATTTGTGACAAAACTGTATTGAAAAGAGTGTTGAAAGTAAGTCAATAACCATGGCTATGTATTCTAAAAAGAGTAATTGATTAAAAAAATTAATTTTTTTAATAACAGGTGTTTTGTTGTCAGTCTAGGAATCATGTTCAGAGACACTCTATAATAAATATCACTCTTTTAGTACATAACAAAGAGACAACAGTAACTGGTGTCCATCGGAGGGTAGTGATGTTCGAAGTATAGCGTACTGCTACAAGTCATATTGTAACGACAGAAGACAAGGGCCAGGCAACAGATTGTTTATTCAGAAAATCAACAGATATTTAAAGATTTTTGTGTACATTAGTATTAGTTATTGTAAGCAGAGAAGCAACGTCTTCTGATTGGCTGTTTTCCTACTGAAGGTTATTCTGTCATCTCTTTGTTGCCGTTTCTTATTAAATCCAGTGATGTATCTGCGAACCGTATCCCCCCACGCTAAGTCTGCTGTGACCGGTTGCGGAGTAAGCACGTTTTAATCTTGCGCGTAAGCCCCTTTTGCATGTTGTTCTACTTGCTACCTGTCGAAATAGACCTACGTTCATCCAGAAGTTGCACCGAACTCGCTGAAACCCAGTGAGTAGAGCATTCTTTTAGGCTGCAAGTGGCTTCACTCTCCATTTCATGGTGCCCTGCAAATGTAGCCAATATCCACCTATACGGATCATATGGTTTTCTAGCTAACTTTGATTCTAGCTCAGTGTGGTACTTCAAAGAGCTAGCAGGTGCTACCACTATGCTCACTTCAACGTCTAGACGACGCCTTTTATGAATCCCATCAAATCGAAAGACGAACCTGGCACACACTAACGCATGATCGGAGTCCAGGCATGCGCTCCAGAAGGAGCGGCAGTCTTGTATGCATCCTCATCATCGGAAACTGAAAGGGATATAATCATTCTGAGTCCAGGCTTGATTAGCAGTTGGAGGATTCCAGGTAGCTCTACGGCGATGGCTGTGCTGGGAGTTGGTGCTAGCTGCTCAAGGCTTCAGAAGACAGTCCTCATTATCTGACCTGCGATTATGTAAATCCCACTGACCACCTATGCGACTCTTCTTAGTGATTAGACGCCCAACCTGTGCATTCAAAACCCCGGCTAGCATTGCGATATGTCTGATGATGCTTGTTTCAGGGGGTCTCTCAGTTGGTAGTAAAACCCATCTTTAATTTCACCCGAGCTGCAATTCGTCGGTACATAGACAGGTACTGCCTATCTGGTCTACCACTCTACTCTCGTATAACCTCCCAGCATCACAGCAAATAAACGGCTGTTAGTGAGGATCAAGTCGAGTAATGCATCTTCGGCTCTAAAGCTTAGTACGACAGTGACACCGGCTACTCTGGATACCGACGCCACGGGGCCTCCGAACAAGTGCTGGTGGTACATAATATTCGAACTTCCAGATGGAGAAGATATTCAAAGCACTTCTTTGACATCTTTGAATGCGGGCCTCCGAAATGTAGCAGACATCGATAGCAAGGCTTTCTAATGTTTTTGCCAGACCTGCCTATTGTCTAATTCGCATCAGCGTCCGAACATTGTAGGTGGCTGGCTTCAGGAAATCTGTGTTAGACATGGCACTGTGGTCTAGCATTTTGGGAGCTACTCACTGACATCTAGAAATGGCACAAATAGACTGTGTTCGGGAAAGACCTAGAAGCTGACGGAAGCGAAGACATTAAGGATAGCAAAATAACACGTAAAAGTCTATGTTCGCTAATGTGATAGTGCAATTATATTTCGTCATGAGTTGTTGTTTCAATGTCAGTCTGAGGGGTGAGATACTGCCCGGACAACCATACTGAAGCAGGTTGTTGTCCTAAGTGACCAGCCCCCGAGCCTTTGACTTGGAGTCTCATTCACAAGGTAGCAGAGCAGCATCATGAACCATGTTCCCATGATTGCCGATGACCAATAGAAGTTCATACGCCGTTTGATCTGTCTAGATTCTGGAGCCCATGTATTTCATAACAACTGCTTTTAATCTAACCACTATTCAAACAATATTCCTGGCATGGTAGGACCTACAGGAACATAAATCCAATCCAGTGTAGCTTGTTGGCTCACTGAATTATGCAAGCCCGTCCACCACGACAAGTTAGCATTTATTAGCCGGGGATGTTGTCTTTACGGAGTGGAATTGCTAGACTTACCTCCGACCGACCTCCCTTCTTTTTCATTTCCACTACTTGTTAGGCAAAGTTTACTAAGGCATCAGTCAGAAATAGAACACAGACCTCCGATGTGGCTGCCGAGAATCCTGCCACTGAATTACCACCACTTAAATGCAATGAAATGGCGTTTTTCACTATTCCACCTCCACTCTTGTCCTTGTATTTAAGCACATATCTACACGAATATCTATTTACTACCTCTTTGTGTATTTATTATTATTATTATTATTACTATAATGATCAGTTGTAATTGGCTTGCCACATTCCTACCTTCTTTTTTATGCAGCAACTATGGAGAGTGACAATGTGTAATTTAGAAAAACTTGTAGTCCTACCAGCAGTTACAGATCAAAAACAAGTAAGTAAAAAATTATTGAAGTCTTGTTTTTTCTTTTTGCATAATCATTATCAAAAGTTTGAAATGGATTCCGGTTATTTCAAATGAGATATTATATTCACCATGGAGAAAGATGGTTAGATAACTGTATACCTTTATAGAATTGCATAGTGTTTAGAATATCATCATTATTGCTGGATGTATTGGGTCGGTGTAAATTTAAACAACGCTAAGTAAGAACCTACACAATAGTGAGTGTGAAAGCAAACCAATATATTAGATATGTCCAAACCAAGTTCACTGTTAACAGTTTGAAAAAATTTGGGCATTGGGTATACGATGTTCATTATAATAAAGGTTTTTGTATTTCCCAATGAATGAAATATAAAACGATATTGTTTTTACTGACGTTTCGCTATTTAACCCCAATAATAGCTTTATCAAAGTAGACATTTATAAAATTATTTTTGTAAAATGTCTACTCACTCAGCGCTCAATTATTTTGCAAATATCCGGTCAAATCTTGATCACAGTTCATATGAATATCAAAGTAGTATTGTTAAACCAGAATTTACAAAATCTCAGCTTATATATAACAACTTGATGATTGTTCCTCAGCATGGGGTCATTTTCACGTTGTCAAGTTGGACAATTGGTAAAGATAACAAAATCAAGTGTAGATTGTTGGATTTGATCAGTGTTTGAAATTATAAAGGCAGTATGTGTTTTTACATAGTGAACTTGCATATCACATTCGTGTTGATTTTGTCATTTTATGGGGGACGGGTGTGTTGTTACCAGATCAAGTTCTGTTTTAGTCCATCATTCATACTATTTAGACAATTTGGATCCCACTTGGTATGAAGTGCTTCTAATATTAGACGAGGTTCTTTGTGATTTCTGAAATTTTTCTGGATTATTTCAATATTGTCAAAATCAATTTTGTGGCCTAATACTATAGTGTGTAGACCTATGGCTGATGATTTTTCAAGCTTTACTAGTTCAACTGGATTTCTTGGTGGTCGAAGAGATGCTCTCACGATGTTTGTCCGATGTATATCGCATCACATTGCAAACGTTTTATTTTATTGACACAATTAGATAGAGAATTTTTATGGATTTGGTCTTTTGTATAGACAAGGTTGCTTCACAGTGTATCTGATGTTTTGAAGAAAACTTTGATGTCGAGCTTATCGAGTACTCTTCTGATATCGTCTGACGTCTCCGCTGTATATGGAATGACAACCAATATATGTTGACAATTTTCTTATTTATGCATAGGGCTGAAATATGGAGTTTTATGTCAGATGAATAGTTTAGATCCTTAAATGTTCTGAAGGTTGCTTCTAGTCAAGTTTTGTAGAAATTTGACTATTTAGTCCCAGTTTGGGATTGGTGAACTCCACAAAGTACTTAATTAATGACCTCCAGGTTATGGAGTGAGTATATCACCATTCGTGCGTCGATGGCACAGAGGTAGAATGCTGGTTGCCCACGCAGGTGGTCCGGGGTTCGATCCCTGGCCATCGACGCACTCCTTTACCTCGCTAAGCCAGGAAGAAAGAATACTGGTAAGTAGGAAAGGTTGTGCATGAGGCTAGCAACCCCATCCTGTAAAAGTAATCACCACTGCTACCGAAAATTCAAGCCTCTAGCTTGAGGCTGCCCTATGTTCCACTGGGATTGCAAAGGAATAAAAAAAATATCACCATTCAGTCATTGGGTTCTACTCAGACAGTCTATTAGTTCTAAATGATGTCAGTTCGTGATATATAGCCGTCGCTATCGAATTTCATAGGTTAGTATCTGTTCACACAACTGACTTGACAGGGCAACCACCGATCACGACTTATCAAGTGAACTCAAGGAAACACATTACATAGATATTAAAATGTTGGATTCATGGGTTTATGTCAATATCTAACTGGAAACCATCCGTATACGAAAATACCCAACATTTTGAAACTAACCTGAGAGTTTATTCGATGTATTCTACAAATGAAGATTGTAAAAAGAAATTCGGTTTTAAACTTCACGCAGTAAGCTTTCCAGAACTCGTGTGGTTGTGATGTACTGACTCAGCTTCCTGAGCTGAATCGAATTAGATATACCACTGATGAACTCTGCCCTGAACGGATGAAATGGTCATCCGGCGTTTAGAACATTTTTATCTAATGATCTAGCAAGCATCACTGTCTGACATGAGTGGTTTTCAACTATTTATATCAATCTATTGTTAGTCGTATATGCTACAATGATATTCAGTTGACTTCTAGTATACATACCTAATTAATGCCAGTTGACAAACGCTGTAGACATTTGGATTAGCCAAATGACTGGCTATTCGGCTAGTGTTCAGACCGCTGTGGTCACCATTGTATCTGGATATTTTTACTCTGAGCGAATAGGACAGTATAAATATGGTCCAAATTTTATAAATTTCTACAATGTGAAACAGATCAAGTTGATGGGATGAGATCACATTATTTTACTCTGTCAGAGCTGAACGATGGTGCAAGGAATGTTTTACATTAAAGAAAATCAAAACAAGTGATTCAGCAAAGAGACAAGTTTCAACGAATTCATTATCAAGTTGTACCGTCGTATATACGTGGTTGTTAATAAGTTATATCCAGTGACGAAATTGAATCATAGGTGTGAATGCAAAAAGTAGTAATAACAGTAGTATGAAATGCAATTAAAACCAAAATGTTTGTGATTATTATCATAGTTAAACGTGAAATGGCAAAACAATTAATGTTATATATAGAATACTTCGTAGGATGTATAGAACTTGGAAGGGGTGTGCAATTATAGGATTTGTAGGTAAATCGAATAAAATAAAAACGTTAAGTAACATTGTGTGAAATTTGATGACATAGAATTTAAAGTTGCAAAAGAAAATTGATTTAGAGGGTGTTATGTATGTGAATATGAGGACCTTGTAGACTACGAGCGAATCTAACTAATGCGCTGGCTAATCTGTCCTGATCGCACGTCAACAACAACAACAATAATACCGCCGGGCACGCAAGACAAATAAAAGAGAAGACTGGACGTTGATATGAGAGCTTTTACTGTCTCAAACAACAGTCGAAAATGTTAAACAAAATCTCCGTATTTATACAATTAGAAAAATCAATGTCACATTTTAAAAATATTAACAAACCCTGGGAATTCAGTAATTTAAATCAATAATCACGCAGATGCGTGAATCAATGATTATGCTAGTGTGTGAAATAAATAATGAATATTAATGATTCACCTGCGTATATATTAGAGGGACAAGTGGGACGATTGAAATAATACCGGGGACAGTTCAAAGTGAGAATAGCAATAGTAACAATTGACTTAATAAAGGAAGAGTAAACAAACTGAATAGACAAAATGGAAAAAAGTAGTAGTATAGCCAAAATATGATTAGGGATTACCACGCTTTAGCATAGAGGGATTAAGAACATGAAAGTTGGAGGTGTTGAAAGAACTTTTTCTGTAGACAAAGATCTTGGCCAAGGCTTCAGCAATGCAGATAAGTGGGGTACGTAGTGATTTCGGTAAATTGCTTTTTTTCCGTGTAGATGACATTAAAGGCAGAGGCTATAGAGATAGGGTAATCATAATCGACCAGTTGTTCGTTGACCGCGCTTCTTACTGCTCCACTTTTACCTCTTCGTAACCATGCAGGATAGTGTTCTTGCACCCTCTGGGACAAAACTCGAGTCGAACGACAAATATACTCTTCTTTTATTAGATTTCACACAATATTACGTAACGTTTTTATTTTATTCGATTTAACTGATTAAAAATGTCCATTAAAATTTTCAAAAGAATGGACACGGAACAAAGAGTATAATATAATGTATATATAATTGTAGAGCTTGATGATGAATTTATCCAAAAGAGTACTCTTTGTTCCGTGTCCATTCTTTATTCGATTTGTCTACTAATCCTATAATTGCACACTCCTTCCAAGTTCTATATATCCTATGAATTATTCTAGATATGACAATAATTGTTTTATTGCATGGTGGATTTCATCATGGACTGACATCAGTTTGAGAACCACTGGAAAACCTGGGATTACTGGACAGCTGTTTCGTTCTAGTTTAGGACTCTGCAGCAGTATTCACCCACCGACATGGTTCGGACCCAGGATCTTCTGGTTACAAGGCGAGCTCGTAGACCATTGAACCACTTAGACCCGATCCAATGGCCCTTGAATTCTACCTTCTGCAAATTCACGACACTGGTCACTGTTCACGGCTTCCCACTAGAACCCCAGGTTAACTGCCCGAATAGGGCCAGTCACTAGTGAGCATCAGATTAATTTTCAAGTTCTAGTGGGAAGCCGTGACCAGTAGGGTGCAGCAGGTTGAAGATAAGGCAGTAACTCATCGAAGAAGACATTGCGAAATGGTCGCGCTATGTCGTGAATTGGCAGAAGTTAGAATTCAAGGACCACTGGATCGGGTCCCAGTGGCTTAATGGTCTACGAGCTCACCTTGTAATCAGAAGGTCCCGGGTTCGAAATCTATCGGTGGGTGCGTACTGTGAAGAGTTCCAAGCCAGGACGAAACAGATGTCGAGTACTTCAGTGCTGGTTTTCCAATGGTTTTCTAACCAGTGTCAGTTCATGATGAAATCCTCCATGCAATTAAACAAAATCCCTACAAAACCAATACTTGAAAAATAATTGTTTTGCCACTTGACATTTAACTATGATAATAATCACAAACATTTTAGTTTTAGTTGCATTTCTTACTACTATTGCTATTATTATTTTATGTATTCACACCTATGATTCAATTCTCTCACCGGATATAACTTCTTAACAACCACGTATATACGACTGTACAGCTTGATAATAATTTCGTTGAAACGAATCTCTTCGCTGAATCCCTTATTTTGATCTTCTACATGTTAGGATGGGAATTTTTCATGAATTGAATTAAAGAGTTTGAAATATTTAAATTATCAAAGAAAAGTCAAAAACATCAACCTTTCTGTCTCAAAATATCGTGAATTAGTATGCACTGACGAAGAGACAGTGTTTGGGAAGTGTAATAAACAAAGAAAGAAGGGCTGGAGGAAACAGACAACAAGCAGTAAAAGAAATAATCGGCCAGAGTTCGTAAAGACTTCATATCAAATCAGTGAAATGAATTCTATAGATGGGTAGAATAAGGAATTATCCAATTAACTCGTACTCAAAATACAAACTGTCAAAGCTCTAAGAGTCTAATCATATTCCTTGTTCCATTGCAGTTGCCTTCACAATAATCTCACTTTCTTCTAAGTGAATTTCGTAAATGAGGTATTATCATACTCGGTTTCCTCGAGGAAAATTACCGAATACATAAAACTGGAAAAAGACCCCCCTCCTCCCGATAATCTGGTACAGCTTGATGAATAGTTCAGTGAACGCCGCGTCGATTAAACATATATATATTATTCGTCTTTTGGGTTCCAAGTGAAACACAGGGCTTCAGCGGCACATCTCCACTGTACTGTGTTCTCCACTATCATTTTTAACCGGTTTAACAACTTCGTGCAAGATCTCATTTCCTCCTCTTTACCTAATCTCCTCTACATAAACCTTAGACCCACGCTTAACTCGTTGCTTTTCATTCAGGTTCCAAATGAGAACCTGAAGTGCGATGTCACTCAAAGGTCTCTTATAATAAAGTCGTTAATGATCAGTTTATTGCAGTCTATATATTAAAAAGTTGTTAAAGTTTAGCCAGTTTTAACAATTTTTTCAATATATATAAATTGTTGTTTATATTATCTTAGCTGGCTATGGGGTTAATTCTGAGTGGTAATACATCGGCAAAATTAATTGGAGGTGCACAAAGCCTATTGAGTCATGTTGGGGGTCAAGTTGTACCTGGGAAAATTTTATCTGTAAGTTGAAATTCACTATGAATGTTTCTATTTGAACACTACATACAGTCTGCCCGCCTGTTTTATTTCAATATAGAACTTTGGTTTTATGCACTGAATCTCTTTTGGCTTTCTGATGAGATGATCATGCAAAGAATTCGCATGAGTCCCATATCTTTTCCATACGCTTAAATCAACCAAGTGACAGGTCATTGGTGAGGATCTTTAATTAGCTACTGAAAACAGTAGATTACAGTTAATGCCTACGAGATATGTCCATTATATCGAGCATATATATAGGTGGAGTAAAACGTATAAAACTATAAGAAATAATAATGGTTAGTTGTAACCAGTGTTTCCATTCCTCAATCATACATCTATAGAAACAAATAGGCGATTTTCTGTAGTCTGGTTTGTAAGGGTTAGTTATGTTTTTACGAGTTGATCACGGATTGATATCAGTTAGAGAATTATTAAAAACTAACAGGGAGCACTGGACAGCTGTTTCATCCTAATCTGGGAATCATCGGCAGTAAGCACCGATCCCACTGCCAGAGTTCGAATCCAGGACCTTCCGGTTACAAGGCAAGCTCGTATGCCATTCAGCCACTGGGAGCCGACTCTTCAATGGCCAATCCATGAATTCTAACTTTTGTCAATTCGTGCGTACTGCGATGATCACAAACCTAGGATGAAACAGCTGTCCAGTACTCCCTTCTACTTTTTAATGGTTCTCTAACTGATAACAGTCCGTGATCAACTCGTAGAAACAAATATGATCCTTACAAACCAACAAGCATTCAGCTCTGAAATTATGACACATAATAAGGGGCAGGGAGTAGAGTAAGTTCTCGCCTCTCTGACTCTTCATGGATTGAGTTAGAGTAAACTGACTAAATAATTGCGGCAGATAAGTTATTTGCTGAAAAAACCTTCTATATCATCTGGGTACCCTGAATAAAGAAGTATACGTAGTTTTTGGCTATAATTCCCTAGATGGGGCCAGATTACAACTCACCGATATCTGGTTTGAGAACTTGCCATAGAGTTGTCAAAATCACTGACCCTAGTAAATGTGTGAGAAAGTTCCTGAATTATTTTCGATCAAAGGCTAAAATAATAAAATTATAAAGCGTAATAACTGGGAAGATCGGTTAGAAAAGACGTAATAAGATCATAATCACTAAAAAAAACTTGACTGTTTGTACAATTACTGACTAAGGACGTAGTAATAACAAAATAGGTAGGAAGTTCAGATGTGTAAAAAAAACAAATAAACATCTAGTAATGCAGATAGAAAACCTACCTGGACAGGATATTATCTTAATTACCACAGCTTCTGCCCTGTTCGGTATAAAAGAGCCTTAGTAAGGCGCCTCTTCAGTAGAATCCAACGAATATGAAGAAAAGAAACTGACAAACTCTGGTTGATAATAACTATCCAGACAAGTTTATCACGAGATATAGAGTAATCAGAACACCAAGACCCACTCTCCCACTCGCCCCTAAGAAAGACGTGTACATCAAGCTACTCTATATGGGGCATCACAGCAGTTTGATAACTAGACAAAGATTGAACGCTGCTGTGGTTAAAAGGACTTCTTATGTATCTAGTACCACAATAATTGAAAACGTGCCTCCAATATATCCATCTAAGCCCTTTGAACATGCGAGAAGTGATGTCACATCTCCCTGTATTTACCAGTTCGAATGTACGTGTGACCACACATACATAAGGAGGACTCATCTATCCCTACAAGTAAGGGCTGGCTTCAGAGCATATCCCTTAATGGCTCCAGAAGCAAACAGAATCCCCAGAACCCATTAATGAGGAGAACAGGAGACCTAGCTCCTCTGCTGAGAAAAATATTATAGAGACAGGACATAAAACTGACGTTTACACATCATTTAAACCTATCTATAAAACGTGTTTGATGCCTATCCTAAAGTTTGTGGAAACCCTAGCTGGCAGTTAGAAAGTTTAAACCACTTTTACGCTTTCAAAGCAACAATTCGTCATCACACTAAACCTTCCTTGGTAAACTTTGTTTTGATACCAGCCAGGGTAAATTTACTATTACCTCTGTTATTTGATTTATTGATCTTCATTGTTATTTTGACCTTCAGTATGTCCTTTTAACTTGACCTTAACTTATTTTCTCACTCCTTAACTCTTTATTAATTTCATACATATTCCTATGACAAGTCGATGTGTGTGATCAAATTGTTCGAAATAAGTTGCACAAATACAACATTACACGATTCAGACAAATTACGTCTATTTATTGTTTTGTCTAAATAGGATAATCATTATTGGTGGGATTGACTTTTTCATGATGTTCACAGTAGGAACAACGGTTTGACGTAGTTGTTTTGAACAATATAGCATGGGTTTGAGCTTTTGGATCGTCAGTGTCTCAGCTATCTTAAATCTCTTGATTTAACCTTTGATAGGGAATAATTCAGGAATTTTCTCACACATTTACTGTAGATACACGAATTTTCTTCACTGTAACCGTCTTTTTGATAATTCTTACAATTCAATAAATAGGGAATTTAATCTAATGCAATCTCTTATAGTTATTTTCTTTACAAAGTGAGGTGTTTTTTCCTTCAAACTATTCTTATAATGATGATAAAATTACAAGATAAACTGACTTGAATACAGCCTGGGTTAGGTTGCAGACACACATGAACACTCAGAGAGAAGGAACATCTTTCCCTGAAAAAGTATGAATGATAACAGACCAATGTACGGATTAATAACAATCGCTTATTCCCAGTTTTTAGTTTTTTTTTGTGATAACAATAAACCACATTAATTTTTGCATCCACTATTCTTCTTGGCTTTTATTACTGCTTACCTAATTTAATATACCATACACTGATAGCTTTCTAGTTAAATTATCTCCGTTTTATTATTTTTTTTTTTTGGTGTTTGTTTTTGTTATCCTTACTATCATGTTGTTCTATCTGGGATGTGTATAGACCAGATTTAATCTCTTCAGTATTATTCTCCTATTTATCTTTTCTTCTCAGCATTCTGTGTTATCGAATTGAGTTTTAAATATGTACGCGTGTGAGTGTACATGTCTTTAGAATACACATTACTTTCATGCTTCTAATCGCATTCTTGTGCATGGGCGATTCAGTGCAGTGGTACAACTCTGGCTAACCATGCAAGTGACTATGGGTTTCGATCCCCGACCACCAACGCACTCCTTTACCTTGCTTAGCCGGGGAGTATGCCAGGCAAAGGAAGGGAAGGTTAGGCATGAGGCTAGCAACCCTATCAAAGCTCTAGCTTGAAGGCGGTCTGTATTCCACGAGGAACGCAAAGGAATAAAATAAATAAAAATAGGACTCTGAAGAGTCCCAAACTAGGCTGACGAAACAGCTGTCCAGTACTCCAGTGCTGGTTTTCCAATGGTTCTCTAACTAATGTCAGCTCATGATGAAATCCTGTAATCAATCAAATCCCTACAAACCAACACTTGAATATCAGTGAGATGCTCACTAACGACTTGCCCTATTCAAGTAGGTAGTTACCTGGGAAGTCGTGACCAGTAGGGTGCAGCAGGTCGGGTGTGAGGACAAATACTCGCCGAAGACATTGGCTAGGGGTCACGCTATGTCGTGAATTGGCAGAAGTTAGAATTCATGGGCCGTGGGATTGGATCCCAGTGGCTTAATGGTATATGAGCTCGCCTTGTAAACAGAAGGTCCGGGGTTCGAACCACTGTGGTGCGTTCGTACTGATGAAGAGTCCCGAACTAGGACAACGGAAACAGCTGTCCAGTACTCCCAGGTTTTCCAATGGTTCTCTAACTGATATTAGCTCATGATGAAATCCTGAAACAATTAATTGTTTCTGTAGTAGTTGATAACAGAAGGTAGAATGAATATAAGATTTGAACGAACAGTTTTTAGTCAGCATTTGGACCTGGTGAACAAGTGGATGGTTTATTGCTAGGTAAGTAATTCAAGAGGTGCTAGTTTGAATCCTATCGTGGAATTGATTCTAACTTTCCACTTTGGCTAGTTGTTTTTTTTTGCTAGTCAATGTTTCGTCGCCAGAGTATGCATCCACAGCACTATTGCATGACTGATAAGTTACTACGCAAGCATATTAACAAATAGTAGCTTTGATGATATTAAATGGTTGGAGGCAATCGACCATACGAAGCCTTGCTCAACCTAGGTTTGGTGCTAGTCGGCACTCACCAGTCAGCAAGGCGTATCTGGAGTCATCTCGCAGGAGCTCAGGTCTCTTCTGAGATTCGAACCCGCGTCACCCAGTGCTGCCTGCAGTCAGGAACGTCACCACTGAGCTATTCGGCCTAGCGATTGACCTCCCATACGACTGTAGTGAATACTTTGATTGGACACTAGTAACATCTCTGACTGCAGGCAGCACTGGGTGACGCGGGTTCGAATCTCAGAAGGGACATGAATTCCTTCGAGGTGACTGCAGATACGCCTTGCTGACTGACTGGTGAGTGCCAACTAGCATGAAACCTAGGTCAAGCAAGCCTTCCTGTGGTCTATCGCCTCCAACCATCTAATACCATAAAATCAATGTAAACCCTTGATGGGGAGCTACCTAGAATGGTGGTCACATTGCAAACCTGGCTGAGTGAATTCAGTCTGCACCAAACGAAGGACTAAACACATCACACTAGTTACTAGTGTCCAATCAAAACACTAGCTTTGTTGAAATCAAGGTACTTATGGTTTCCACCTTTTGACTTAAAACAAAATGATAACCCCTTCTTATGACATTGTCACAGACACCAACAAACACTTGATCTGTACTTTTATTTATTTGATCTTCAGAAATTTGACCGATTTTATTCTCCAGTATGTTTAAAATCGATTGTTTTAAGAATTTCGATGTGTTTAAGGATTGTAATGATAGTCAGTGTGATTTAGTAACAAAATCAATGAAGCTTCAGGAATGTAAAGGGTTGTATACCACACCGGTTACAAAAGAAAATTGTCTCACATATGACATTCGTATTCCTTAGTGATTCACATACTCCAGTCTTAAAAGAGGTTATTTGTGTGAGTGATTATCGAAGATTTACAAAGTAATCTCGAACCAATGCACTGTAATAGTTAAACTATAATTACCAGTTGGTGAAAAAACTACTATCTCATAACAACTTTAATTTTGACAGTCGAATGAAACGCTCCAGGTGTACACCTATTCTATGCATGATGGTAATAAACTATTCATGGGTTGGTATGAACAGATGAAAAGCAATCATAGTCTGTCTGCCTGTCTGGATTCAACATAAAACTTGGCACCGAAGTGCAGCAGTTCGAGTTGCCACGTTCCAAATAGCACACAAAGGTTGACAAGAAGATGAGTGAAGAGAATCAATAGAGTTTTGAAAAGCTTAAGAGTGAAATAGAATAAGTAATGGTAGAATGGAATATGAAAGATTACAGAGACTGAATACATCTGCGTAAGCCATTGACAACGATTTTGAGCCATGTCACCTATTGTCTCCAGCCGTTGATTCTTAGGGTCGCGAGGGCCTCAACCCGGAAGTCTGCATCTCCCTCCCTACCTGACTCAGTTTAACTGTCAAGGATTTCATGGATTGATGCCATGTTTTCGCTTGGCCACTACTCAATCTTTTCCAACCTGCACCTGTATCAGCTAGTAATGCCCGTCGGGGGAAGCGATGGTTAGGCATGCTCAGCACGTGACCTAGACATCTAAATCTATGTAACTTTATAGCCTCTTTGCCCAACACTCTACGCCTAACGTCAACATTAATCACCTTATTATTCCACCTAACGTGAGAAAGAGATCGTAGACATCTATGATCAAAAACAGTCAACCTTTTCATGTCTTCAACTCGTATTGACCATACTTCAGAGCCATAGAGAAGGACGGAGCAAACTGCTGAGCAGTACACACGTCCCTTGGTTGATAGTCGGATGTCACGCCTACGCCAGAGATGGTGTAAGTTAGCGAAAGCAGCCCGAGCTTTTTGGATCCGTGCTGAGATTTCGTCACCAATCAATCCGTTGGTGCTGATACAACTTCCCGAATAGGTGAAGTGGTCAACATGTTCTATCACTTCACTCCCTATCACTAAGCTAGGAGTTGACGTAGTCCAGTCCTGTAGCAGCATCTTACATTTTACAGGGGCGAATCGCAATCATAGTAACGAATCATCCTTACTAGGTAGATAGAAGTTTTCTATAGTTGGTTTACAAGGATTAGTTTTACGAGTTTTATGAGTTGATCACGGATTGATATCAGTTAGAGAACCATTTAAAACTAGAAGGGAGTACTGGACAGCCAGCTGTTTCATCCTAGTTTGGGGATCATCGTCAGTATGAACCCATTGCCAGGGTTCGAACTCAGGACCTTCCGGTTACAAGGCGAGTGAGCTCGAATACCATTCAGCTGCTGAGACCCGACTCTTCAATGGCCAATCCATGAATTCTAACTTCTATCGATTCGTGATTTAGGGCGTGGCCGCAAATGCATGAACGTCACTGGTCACGATCGAAGTTATGTAAACATCAGACAGCCGTTTTGCCCACTCAAAGTTGAGACCATCGGTAATGCAGCTGAATTGACTAAACTCAAAGAATCAAATCAATTTAAACCGCTTGAATTTCAGTTAGCTACTTAGCTGAACTGGTAATGCATTGATGCATCGAATTCGCCATTTGCAAACGACACAGTTCGAGGCGGAAATTCATCCTAGTCAGCAGTGCTACTCTTAGTTGATGTGGTGGGTGGTATCCACCTACTCACATCAATAAATCATCCCACTATGTCTTGATAGTTATTTTCTTGTTTGACATTTATGATATTATTATCAAGCCAATCATATATTTTGGTTTTGGAGGATTTCATCGTGAGCTGACATCAGTTAAAGAACCATTGGAAAACCTCCGTGTAGTCCTGGACAGCTAGCTGTTTCGTCCTAATCTTCTGAGTCTCTTTAGCAGTACGCACCCACCGACAGAGTTACAGCTCAGGACCTTCTGGTTACAAGGCCAACCAGGTCGTAGACCATAAGGACACTAGGACTTGATCCAATGATCAGCCCATGAATTATAACTTCTGCCAATTCATAACATAACGCGACCAGTTCGCAGTGTCTTCTTCGATGAGTTACTGCCTCATCTTCAACCTACTGTACCCTACTGGTCACGGCTTCCCTCTAGAATGCCAGGTCACTGCCTGAATAGGGCGAGTCGCTAGTGAGCATCAGATTAATTTTCAAGTATTGTGTTTCTAGGGATTTTTGTTTGATTGGTTGGAGGTTTACCAATGGACAAACAGCTGTCCACTACTCCCTGGAGGTTTTCCAATGGTTCTCTAACTAATATCAGTTCATAATAAAATCTTTTAGTATGAATTAATTGACTAGACTGGTTCTGTGTTAGTTATTTTAGCCAGTAGATCACTTATGGAAATAAAAGGCGGAAAACGTGTGTGATAAAAAACGCGAATTCCTTAAAATCACCCCTTAATGTCTATAATTTTAATTAAAAGAGTCTACTCAAATTATCCATGTTTTGTTCCTTGTTTTCTAGGAAGCAACACGTGAATCTGAGAAAGGTCTTACACCATATCAATGTGAATTACTCGGTATGTGTTTGAATACAATTCGAGTATACTTTCATGCTGGTGGACGTGGATTGAAACGATCATTTCTTGATCGTAGTCCAGAACTTCATAGTCTACGACAGGTATTAGCTCTTTATTCTCAAGCTACAGATGAACTATTGAGAGATTTTGTAGCTACACAAACTTCACAAGGTAAGTAATACTAACGACCCCGAATGAATTGTATTTTACGACAATACAATAAGAAGACTCAGTTTATCTGAAGCATGTAATGCTTTATTTGCGCAACAAATTTTGAAAACTCTGATCTCACACACATACTTGTCATACACAGTTTTATAGAAGGCAAGAAGACATGAATCATTACAATACAAGTGAGATTGTGTACAGGTCAACGTCACATAAATGGGTAAGGAGATGACGCAAAGGTGTTGGTAAGAAAGAAAAAAAGTAAAGAAGGGATTGAAAATATTATGAAGTAAATTGATCCTTGGTTCTAAACTGCATTACCAAGGGAGGTAATAAATAACTTTTGAACACATAAAACAGGCTTCAACCAATTTAAGTATGTGACCCAACCTTGTTTTACATGTGGGCTTAAAGGCATTGTTGAAATCAACCTTATGACCCGTCTCTATAATATGCTTCGCCATGGATGATGTTGGACATCTATTTCTGGCGATTTTTTGTGTTGTTGCAGCCACTTTGGAATATGTTCTGTAGCCCTAACTTGCAGAGACCGATGGGTACTCCCTATGTTTGTGTGTCCACACATACATATAAATTGACAAATACAATGAGATGTGACACTATCGTTCGGATAATGTGAGGGTTTACAGGTTAGCATAGTACTCGTGTCCTCAATGAAGATAAGTTCGGCTGCATAGTAAGTTCTATTAATTGCCACCTTAAGTGTCTGTTCGCTGACCAGACTTTGTTGATCACCCCTGAACTGCAAGGATATATAAACATCCTTTTTGGGAGCTGATTGAATTGGTAGAGCTCTTCGGTTGACACTTCCGTAATACCTAATAAATCTCAGCGGATAACTGTTATCAGTCAGGTGTTGTCTTTCTTCTCCAACTGTAAGAGCAGTACATATACCGTGAATGAGTTTGAACAAACACCTAACCAAGTCCTTTATATACTGTAGTCGACAGAAACTATGATAATGTAGATACTATCCCGTCCATGTCGACTTTCTGTAGACAGATTGTTTTACTGACCCATCTTCTCGGAGGGTTATGAGTACATCTAAAAATGATAGGCAATTATTATTCTCTTTACCGTATGTCAATAATCAGAATGTCCAAGATGTGTTGCACAAATACATTAAACATTTCAGATAAACTACATCTTCTTATTGTGTTGTTGAAATTCATAAAGGAAACTGATTCCTTTAAACTGTATTTTTGTCGTCAAAGGATGTAGTTTAGTTTCACAATTAAAATTTACCTTCAATATAAAAATATGTGATGACTGAAAAGTGTTCCAATGTCAAAAGAGACGTTGACTGTGATACGAAATTACAGAGTGTTGAGATAACTGAACCATGAAAAAAGTTTATTTCTTCCAATCAGTAACTCAGAGGAGTCTGTTGAAAGTTGAAGATCACCAGATAGAGATGGTATAATCTAAAGTTTATGTCTCGTGTGCACCACGTTTGTGACCTAGCGTAGAATAAGTATGCTGATATTCAACTTAGCTGACTACAAAAATTGTTTAAATTATAGAATTCAGCAAATGAATTGTGTTATACATGCATAAATTGGACTTTAACACCTGATGATCTTAGGAACAAATATGAAGCATGTTAATGAAATGACCCTTGATACATTTGGTAGTTTTAGGTAACGAATTTCCTACCTAGTCGATTCGCAACTACTACTAGCAACAACAACGACACGATACGATACCACCGAAAACTCGACGCAAGATGAGAAAAAGAAAAGACAGACCATTGATGTGGGGAGCTTTCATTGTCTCGTATCAACAGGGAAAGATGGTTGACAGAACTTGCATATATATATATATATATATGCTTCAAATGACGTTAAGAGACACTAACCATACTGACTGATTAAGACATCCAACAACCAATAAGATTAATATATGTGTAAAACTTGGGCACTGTGGTAGTAAGTAATTCCATATTAGTTTGTTTATTATGTATATCCCACAGTGAAACAGTATTATTTACTGGATGACGTTTCGAACAAAATTTATTGTTCATAATCATATCACTTGTGATCACACGACTTTGACACTTGAGTTTTATAGTTTTCTTTGTTCTCTCTTATTTGTCGTAGGGGGAGTAGAATTTTCCAGATATCGGGGACAGGTGATGAATCATTCCTATTACATGTATTCTCTCTCAGTTGATTCGATAAACAAAGCTTCTGTTATCAATCTCTCCCTCATTTCACCCTGTGACATTAGATTTTAAAACTGTCATCCTATCCCATCCTATTGTATGGTTGTGTGTGACTGCATGTAGTGCTATAGCTGAACTATTCTCTAGATTTCTTATTTTATTCGGGTCAACCAATCTAGATTTTGCTAAGTTTTTATGTTCAGCTAGTCTGACTGCCCCTGTTCTACTAGTTTGACCTATGTATTTAACCTGACAATCATTTCAGGGTATTAGATAAACTAAATTGTTTTGTTTTAAAGGCTCTACAGGATCCGTTAACCGACAAAGCTTGTTTCTAACAGAGTTTGTGGGTTTGAATGCCCTTTTTATTCCTGCCTTGTTGAGAATTCTGCGTAAGGCTTCCGAGGTTCCTTCCTTGTATGGAATTACTACTGATGATTTAGACTTTATTGTTGGTGTCGTCATCAATATTATTATTATTGTCACTATTAACCAATAAGATTCCAAGGTCGTAGGTAGTGTGAGGGAAATACGAGCAGCAATGTGAAGATAAATGTAGTATTTTAGGAAAATTGGGTCTACATAATAATTACTCAAAAGTCAGATTGCAGTTAGACAGGATATATCCTAATACTGCAGCTTACATTCAGAACACCTAGACACTAAATAACCCAGGAAAAGTCAAACCTAGAGGAAAAGAAGTCGTTAAATGGTGTTCAGAAAGAAATTCTAAAAACGCAACAGACAAAAATGAGATATGTGGTATTGTAGTTAAGATGGAGAGAAGATACAAGTATGAATGTGGAAATATTAGCCGGTTCTAAATTATATTATCTTTCATTGTAAATTATTTAAGCAAAAATCAAAACAAAACTTTTTCTTAAACCCGCTGGGATTAATTTAAATAATTTATCATAAGAAACTTCAGCTCAAATTAAGCTTCAGCTATATCGGTACCGCTTACAAGTGAATACCAGATGGAATAAAACACAATTCCAGAGATTTAGGCTGACTGCTTAAAATAATCAAGTATTGACACTGTTGATCAACACAACAGTAGTTGGCTAGTTGAGACCTCTACATTCTTTTAAAATAATTATTGTTACTACCTTTGTTAGTGTTTCAGTAGTAGGAATTTTTTAACTAAAATCTCTATGGCTATCGTCTTCACGAGATGACTGAAACACTAAGCTAAATAAAGCAAGATGTCGTCTTATTGTTTTTTTTCCATAAATTTATCAATCGATTAGCTTAGCAGATACTTAAGTAAACAAGTTTACATTTTCTCTTGGTCAGTTTTATTTCTCATTGTTTTTTTTTTAAAGATTACTTGGCCAATGATGAACCAGTTGGATATCTAACCCTACAAGTAGAAATATTTAAACATCCTGGTACCGGTGAATATAAGGTGAATGTCAAGAGTAAGTGAATACAGTGTTATCAGTGTTATGCTCAAAATTACTTAAACCTGGTTATTATTTTATTCAATCCTTGCGTTACTTGTGGAAAATGGAGCTTCAGCTTTCCATTGCAATCTATCCTCTACGGTCACTTTCACTTGCCTTCAAGACGAACAAATACAAGCTATCCTACTCCTCACACTGACTTCCTCATGTTGCTATTCGATCTAAATCCACATCGAGTTCCAATCGACATTCTGACACTTGATATCGATTGAGGTTCTCCCCAGTGTATTATGTCCAATCCAGTTCCGTAGCCGTCTGCATGGCTCTTAAGCTGGTGGACGCTGTCTTAGAGATCATTGTTTCATCCTTATACTTTCTGGTTACCCGCTCACCATCATCAGCCAGGCACTGATAGAAATCTGAAAGAATTTTAGTTGGTCCCTTTAAATAATTATAAAAGAATACAGTTATCCCAGAGTTCTGACGTTATAATGGTGGTCATATTTGGAGATTTTTTCACAGAAAACTCGATTACCCACAACATTTACAAAAATACGTAGTAGAAGCATGCTCACAACTTAATAACTCATAGATAGTTGAACTCTGTTCATGGTTTCGGCATAAGTAATATTTTAACGCTTTGTAAATCGACATATTTCCAATTAAATTGAATATTCCCATTATTTATTCAGAACAAAATATTTAGAGTGAACAATTGTTTTCAATAAATTCTTCTTCAGGCTCTACAATTATAAATCCATTAATTTAAGCATACAATAGCCAGTAAAGGCAAATTAGAATCATATCAGAAAGTGTATTGTAGAACAAGTATAAGATGGGATGGAACAATAGTCAGATAGTTTTTTAATATGCATGGTCAATGAGAACATGGGACAAAATCAGATGAAGTAATTTAATTTAATGATGTTTGTGTATATATAGTCAACAGAAAATACAGGTTTCGAGAGTGAGTGTAATCAGGGTGTGTGAGACAATATGAAAATAAACCAACGAATGGGGCAGACTAGACATAAGTTCAAGGTTGAAAATAACGACAATAAGAATGACTGTAAAATAATAACGATGATATGGTGTAAAATTACATGCACTATTGGTGAATGACTGTCAAATAATAATAATAATAATAATGAATATAATGAAGTGGAATGAACAGGATTTTGTAAATATGATGACAAGCTTTTATAAAAGCCACCTAGATTTGCTCTCACTTGGTTATCTTAACTTCCAAGTAACATCTATTTATTCAGAACAAAATATTTAGAGTGAACAATTGTTTTCAATAAATTCTTCTTCAGGCTCTACAATTATAAATCCATTAATTTAAGCATTCAATAACCAGTAAACATTAACACTATGAATTCCTTTCGCAATTTTCTTTTCTTCTTCTTCTTCTTCTATTCCTCTGTTTCATTGACAAACGGTCATTTTCGACTTTTATGATTTCATGACCTTCCTTATGATTTCATTACCTTAGGTTTAAGTAGTGCTTTTCTAGCTTGTCATCATATTTACAAAATCCTGTTCATTCCACTTCATTATATTCATTATTATTATTATTATTATTTGACAATCATTCACCAATAGTGCATGTAATTTTACACCATATCATCGTTATTATTTTACAATCATTTTTATTGTCGTTATTTTCAACCTTGAACTTATGTCTAGTCCGCCCCATTCGTTGGTTTATTTTCATATTGTCTCACACACCCTGATTACGCTCACTCTCGAAACCTGTATTTATATAAATTAAATTACTTCATCTCATTTTGTCCCATTTTCTCATTGACCATGCATATTAAAAAACTAACTGACTATTGTTTCATCCCATCTTATACTTGTTCTACAATACACTTTCTGATATGATTCTAATTTGCCTTTACTGGCTATTGTATGCTTAAGTTAATGGATTTATAATTGTAGAGCCTGAAGAAGAATTTATTGAAAACAATTGTTCACTCTAAATATTTTGTTCTGAATAAATTATGGGAATATTCAATTTACTAGTATTATTAAACCAAAATTTACAAAATCTCACTTTGCACATACAGTTATTTAATCACAGTTCGTCAGAATGATGTGATGTTCACACTGTCAAGTGGGTGAGTTGGTAAACATAACATACTGTATCTGCGGATTATTGTATTTGATAAATACAAGAAATAATAAAAAAAACAAGAAGTGTTTACGTAATGAAATTGTTTATCACATATCTGTTGACTGTGTCACTTCATGGAGGGTGGGTAAAGAGGTGTTGGAGCCAGGTTAAATTCTGTCTGAATCCATCATTCCTAATTAGACAATTTGGATTCCACTTAAGATGAAGTGCTTTTGATATGAAATGTTCTTTGTGATTTTCGAAAATTTTCTGGATGATTTCTATTATTGTCAAAATCATATTTTTTGGCCTGATTCTATATCGTGTAGACTTATGGCTGAGGATTTTTCAAGCTTTTCCTGTTCAACTGGATTTCTCGGTGGTCGAATAGATGCTCTACGGTGTTCATTTCTTCCGATTTTGATTTCTCTCTGGTGGTGTTTGTCCGATGTATATCGCATTACATTCCAAGCATTTTATCTTATAGACACAATTAGATAGAGAATCCTTAGGAATTTGGTCTTCTATGTAGACAAGGTTGCTTTGCAGTGTGTCTGATATTTTGAAGAAAACTCTGATGTCGTGCTTACTGAGTGGTCTTCTGATATATTCTGACGTCTCTGCTCTTTATGGAGTGACAACTGTCGAGGCCCAGGAAAGGCAAATTAGAATCATATCAGAAAGTGTATTGTGGAACAAGTATAAATTAGAGGGGATGGAACAATAGTCAGATAGTTTTTTAATATGCATGGTCAATGAGAACATGGGACAAAATCAGATGAAGTAATTTAATTTAATGATGTTTGTGTATATATAGTCAACAGAAAATACAGGTTTCGAGAGTGAGTGTAATCAGGGTGTGTGAGACAATATGAAAAATCAACTCAGCGTCTGCTTAAATGTATTCTCGAAACGATACCTACAGGTATTATAAAGTGAATCTTGAAAGAAGGAGAGTTGTTATCCTACTGCTCATAAAGGATAACTAGGCGAGAAACAGTCTCTCTACCTGACACTTCTTAATTTCCATTTCTTCGTGTGTGGTGAGAGCTGGCTGCTAGCCAAATTGGTAGACAGTAATTTACATCAATGTTTACGTCCCCAATATTGGTCGTGAGGAAAATAAGAACAAAGACACATTCAACGACCAATCACAACAGACTTTGCGTAGGCGGATACAATTTGCAGATAGATAATCTGAACTTCAAGAAACGACCACAAAGAGATGAGAGATTAACGTTCAGCGAAAAACCACCAGTCAGAAGACTGTGTTTGTTTGCTTACAATAATCTATAATAATGTCCATGAAAATATATAAATATCTTCAAGTATTGGTTTTGTAGGGATTTCGTTTGATTGCGTGGAGGATTTCATCATGAGCTGACATCAGTTAGAGAACCGGTGGGCGCGTACTAATGATGAGTCCCATACTAGGACGAAACAGCTGTCCAGTACTCCCAGGTTTTCCAGTGGTTCTCTAACTGATGTCAGCTCATGATGAAATCCTCCACGCAATATAAATATCTGTTGATTTCGTAAATAACCGATCTGTTTCCTGGCCCTTGTCTTCTGTTGTTACACATGATACACACTCCTCTAAAGTTAGTCATCACTAACTGATATCAGCTTGTAATCTAACTTGAAGTCGACCAAATAGCTGTCCAGTATTTTTTCTCTATCACTTAATGTCGATAACTTTTGAGTACTGAAATTCATCTTAGAAAACTTACACAGAATCTTCCCACTTTTCTTTTTGTGCTCATAGTTCATACAGCTTCTGATTTGAATTGGTCACTTGCCTCAGGAATGTTTCGACCATATGTAGAAGTCTTTTTATTCGGTCCATTACTGTCAGATCGTAAGCGTAAAGTGGCGACAAAATCAAAGTCGGTTACTACAATGCCTACCTACCATGAAACATTTGTATTGTAAGTTGTTGTTTGTTTTTGCATGCTTTCACAGATTATGAAAGGTAGTGAATTTATTATTTTTATTTATTCATTTATTTTTGATTATAGCTTCATTCCACACCGTATATTTTTGGTACAGGTATGGAATCTTCAGCATGTGATATCGGTAGCCCAAATTTTGCAGGCCGACCAGAGATATAAGGTGTGCGTCGGCAGGGGATCGAACCCCGGACCATATGCATGGTCGGCGAGAGTCCTAACCGCTGTGTTACCGATGCACAGGTAGAAGTTTTGGCTAAACAACCCCGGTTAATCAGTGACAGGTAGACAGTGTGCATACAATTAATTGCATGATGCTACACAACCACTGACTGATGAGAATGAACAGTTGAAGAGCACTCACACTAACCGGTAGGGCTTGCTAATCCAAAAACAAGCGACCTAAACACTGGTTGTCCATTTTGCCTACTTTGAGCAAATTATATGACTGGTTTGAAGTGAATGAGACATCATCAGTTTCTTTTCGAAATCAAAATTATTCTGCTTGACATTGTGAAGTCAAAGTTAACAATCAACATAGAGAAGAATTAAATCAACTATTTAGGGATTGACGGTATCGACGTTCGCGAGTTGTACGGATTATACTAACGCAAGATCTTATACCAACAACCACTATAGTGTTCGTTCTTCGAGTACCAAATGGTAAAGCAAAAGACCAGATTTTGTCGTCCAAATACGATATATATTTTGGGACCAAATCGCGGGTAGGAATGAATGCTTAGCTAGCTAGTAATCGTGCACGCACGTGACACGACGAAGCACCAAATGGCGGGGATGCTTGACCGTAAGCCTTCAGCTAAACAAGTCGACTTAAACAGTGATGGTCAGCATCCAATGTTGAGTGATGATTGCTGTGGTCAATAATTTTGGGGAATTATTTACCTCTACAGCTCACTCCCCCCCTAGTGGGTTTGTGAGGACCCTAAGACATGACCAGCCGGAAGTAAAAAATTCTCGATGGTTCCCTGATGGGTGAAAAAAATCTTCCGATCGGCTTGATGGAGAGCCTGCCGGTCTGTCTGCCTATGCTAATAGGGTGTCTGTACATAGCTTCCTCAGTGTTGTTCGTTGGATCCCGTGCTTCGTTTGTTTCCTGTCCAGTGCCCGTTGCACCTGGAAAAGAAAACAAGAATGCTGAGAACCTTGTCAAGAAAAATGTACCAAATAAGCGTTTTTTTTTACCAAAAAAATATGACATGCATCTACTATACAGTAAAATAATGTAAAGTTCAAAATATCGGGAAAAAAAATATACATCTTATAATTTTATGTACGGTTATAGGAAAAATATCATTTACTTGTGTTAAATGACGCAACATAAAAAAAATTGATGTGTCACTCAGTTATGTGAGATAGGTGTGAAGGTATTCTGGGAATCTAACGTGACGTCCAGAACGCGTTTTTTTAGAAAGATCGACCGAAGGTTCAGTGGCTTTCGCCGTGCTAGGGAGTTCTTCGAAGACTGAAGTAGATTCAATTACTTGTGAATTATCGGGTACGTTAAGCTCCAGGCTAATAGGATTACCTTCTAAGTAAGCCGGTTTCAGACGGTCGATACTGACGGTGTCTTCGCGGCCTTTTTTGTCTAAAACGAAGAATTTATCAGTACGTTTAATCACTTTATATGGTCCGTCATATGGGGGTTCTAGAGGACGACGTACCGAGTCGCGACGAACAAATACATGTGAAGAAGTTTTTAAACAAGGGTGAACGAAAACATCAATGGACTGTGGTCGGAGGGGAGCAGGTTTAACTGAACGCATAGCGTTTGTAAGCCTACTGACGTATGAGGAGTGATCTACCACTGGTGGGAAGCTCGAGGGAGAAACAAACTCACCTGGCAGTCGTAGTGTTGTGCCATATACTAGCTCAGAGGTAGTACAACCAGCATCGGTTTTTAAGGCGTTTCGTATCCCTAGGAGAACTAACGGAAGGGATTCAGTCCAGTGGGTGTTATTTGCAGCTGATAAACCAGCTTTCAACTGTCTGTGTAGACGTTCTACCATACCATTCGCTTGAGGATGGTAGGCTGTCGTTCGAAAACGCATGCAACCAAGGATTTTAGTCAAAGCGAAGAATAAACCGCTTTCGAATTGCCGCCCACGATCAGTTGTTATGGAAGATGGGCATCCAAAGTTTGCGATCCATCTCTCTACAAAGACGCGTGCGACAGTTTCAGCAGATATATCCTTGATGGGTACTGCTTCAGGCCATCGTGTGAAGCGATCGATGCAGGTTAACATATAGGTGTATCCATGAGATTCTGGAAGGGGGCCAACTAAATCTATATGGACGTGTTCGAAACGGGCATCAGGGATAAGAAAAGTGCCAAGGGGGCTTTTAGTGTGTCGTATTACCTTGCACTTTTGGCGAGCTAAACACGTCTGTGCCCATTCCCTTACTTCTTTGTTAATACCAGGCCAACAAAACCGACTAGTTACGAGCTTGACAGTAGTTCGAATACCTGGATGGGATAAGCCATGCAACGTATTGAAGACGTTACGGCGATAACTTTTAGGCACGATGGGGCGAGGAGTACTAGTGGAAATGTCACACAGAATAGTATCCTTTCCTATACCTAAGGGTTTCTTGGCTAGTTGTAGAGTTGTTTTCGACAACTCACGCTGAAGCTCAATATCTTCTTTTTGAAGACGAGCCAGTTTTACAAGGTCTATGCCATCGATTTGGGTGAAAGAACAAATATGTGACAAGGCATCTGCCACAGTGTTGTTCACTCCGGAAACATGGCGAATATCTGATGAAAACTGTGAAACATAATCTAGTTGTCGCGATTCCCTGGGTGAATACTTATCTGAAGTTGAGTTCAGAGAGTACGTCAGAGGTTTGTGGTCAGTGAAAATGGTGAATTCACGACCCTCAACTGAATGTCGAAAATGACGTATAGCACAGTACATAGCTAGAAGTTCCCTTCCGAATGTGCTGTACTTCGTTTCAGCTACTTGAAGGCGCCTCGAGAAAAAGGCGAGTGGTTGCCATTCGTTGTTAACTAGTTGTTGCAGAACTGCGCCGATTGCAGTGTCTGATGCATCAACCGAGATACTCAACGGTGCCGTTGGATCCTGATACATAAGAAGGGTGGCATCTGCAATAGCTTTCTTTACCTGAGTAAAAGCATGTCGAGCAGACGTGTCGAGTTCGATAGCCTTGTTGTTCCCTCGAAGGAGATCGGTTAATGGCTGAATTAGCGAAGCACAATTAGGAATAAAACGTCGGTAATAACTTACCAAGCCGTTAAAAGTGCGAAGGCATTTTACTGTCTTTGGCTCCGGAAAGTTCAGTATTGCTTCGACTTTGGTAGCCAATGGGCGAATACCCTGGCAGTCAATAGTGTGACCCAGAAAATCGAGTGAGCCAACGCCTATTTGACACTTCTGTATATTGATGGTAACACCATGTTGGCGTAACCTTTCAAATGCCAAGTCCAAGTGTCTAAGGTGAGTTTCCTTATCTGGACTGGCAATGAGGCAGTCGTCTAAGTATGCGTATACAAAGTCGAGACCGCGAAATACTTCGTTGATGAAGCGTTGGAATGTTTGGGCCGCATTCCGGAGGCCGAATGGCATACGTAGAAATTCGAAAAGTCCGAAAGGCGTAATGATAGCCGTTTTCGGGATATCTTCCGCTGCCATCGGGATTTGGTTATATGCTTTAACCAAGTCGATTTTGGAGAATATAGATGCTCCAGATAACGTTGCCGTCAAGTCGTGTATGTGAGGCAAAGGGTAGCAATCAGGAGTTGTTTTGGCGTTCACTCGCCGGTAATCACCAGTGGGTCGCCAATCGTTGCTATCCTTTTTCGGTACCATATGCAACGGGGATGCCCATGGACTATTCGATGGCCGAATGATGCCAAGGGTGAGCATATGATCGAATTCGTTTCTGGCAATTCTCAGTTTATCAGGGGCCAGTCGTCGTGCTTTAGATGTCACGGGCTGTCCTGAGGTTATGATGTGGTGCATAACATTGCTGGTTATACACGGGAGATCGTTAGATGGGCAATTCAGTTCCGGATATTTGTCAACAATCGGTTGAAAAGTTGGATCGAGGATTGCTTTCATCTTAACGATTGACAAACTGGGGCCTACGTAAGTTATGCCTTTGATAGACAAACTAGTAGTGTTGTCAATTAGTCGTTTACGGCGGACGTCTACGAGCAAATCATGATGATTGAGTAGGTCCGTGCCAATGATGGGCATTGTGACGTCAGCGATCAGAAAAATCCACCGAATAGGTTTGCGTAAACCTACGTTCAGATAGACGTATTTCCGACCATAGGTTGCAATTGGTTTTCCATTTGCAGCCTGTAGGTTGAGGTTAGGATCCTTCTGTCGATCTGCTGCTGTAGCAGGAAGGACGCTGACTTCGGCGCCTGTGTCGACTAGATATCTAGTCTTGCTAATTACATCATGGATGTAAAGTAAGCGGCTAGTGCCACCGGCGACGGTTGCCGCTAACGCGTGCCGGCGGGATAGTTTCCCACAGACTTGGAGGTTTTGCCGAAATCACAAGGTTTTCGACAACATTTCGCTTCCTTGCCATAGGTGTTGTGATACCAACACCAGTCAGGATTTTTGAGAGAACGTGTGTTGGACTTAGATCGTCCACGTACGTTTAGCCGTTGAGGGGATCTAGAACGACGGTTTGAGGAATTGCTAGGCTTGTTTGACCTAAGCATCTGCTGGACGGAGTTGATTAACTCTATCATTGCAGAATCCTTCTTCGAAGTCTGTTCGGTAACAGAGTATACTTCGGTGACTGGCCGTTTCGTTATCTCTAGAATTCTATCTGCAGAGACAGCTAAATCATCTATGAGAACACCCTGAAGTGTCACAAGTACAGTCTGAACTGACTGTGGCAGTTTGGATAAAAATAGTTCTCTAAACAGTCCTTCATCGAACTGACTTTGGCCAATGATCTCTTTCATTCTTGCCAGCATGCTCACGGCTGACTGATCTCCTAACTCGATGTTACGAAATAACTCATCCAGACGTTGCCGATCTGTGAGAACGTTTCTCTTGAGGATGGATGCTTTTAGCAACTCGTACGAGTTACTTACCGACATCTGCAGAGTTACGCACTTGCTGAATTCCCGCGGTAGGGCGTGAATAACTGCAAGGAACTGTGAACGTTGATCAGTTATGCCATGTTCACAAAAATCGGACTCAGCAATCTGAAACCACGTTTCAGCATTATCTGGCCAAAATGGTACTAGCTGAATTGTTTTGGCAGTTGAGCGAATCTGAATAACCTTGGGGCTAAAATCACTCATGACGAAAAGTATGCCGATAACAATATAGTACAAGAATAAACACAAAAAGGAACGAACTCACCGGGTTTATCTGCGTGTGAATTGAAGATGAAGTTCGAGGTTGGGCTCACCAGTTTAGTGATTGACGGTATCGACGTTCGCGAGTTGTACGGATTATACTAACGCAAGATCTTATACCAACAACCACTATAGTGTTCGTTCTTCGAGTACCAAATGGTAAAGCAAAAGACCAGATTTTGTCGTCCAAATACGATATATATTTTGGGACCAAATCGCGGGTAGGAATGAATGCTTAGCTAGCTAGTAATCGTGCACGCACGTGACACGACGAAGCACCAAATGGCGGGGATGCTTGACCGTAAGCCTTCAGCTAAACAAGTCGACTTAAACAGTGATGGTCAGCATCCAATGTTGAGTGATGATTGCTGTGGTCAATAATTTTGGGGAATTATTTACCTCTACAACTAAAACAAAATGAAGAACTCCTTATAACTCGTCCAGACAAAGGAAGTGGTATAGTCCTTATGGACAAGAAAGACTATATTGAGAAAATGAACAACATCTTGTCAGATAAAACAAAATTTTCGCAACCACCCAACGAAAGAAACAAAACAGAACTGATTGAAAAGCAACTCACCGATGTCCTGAAAAGAATGCAAACCCAAAAGTTAATCACTAATGAAGTGTATGATCAGATCCGACTGACAGGGTCAACAATACCAAGACTATATGGCTTACCGAAGATACATAAAGCCAACCTCCCACTTCGTCCAATTCTGGATATGTCAGGTTCCCCGTACCATTCAATAGCGAAATGGCTGACTGACATTTTAGAACCTGTACGAAAACGAATGTGCCACTATTCACTTCGTGACACTTTCCAATTCGTCGATTACATTAAAGATATCAATACAAAGAACAAAACTATGCTCTCCCTCGACGTTGAATCACTATTTACCAACGTTCCACTCACAGAAACTGTCTCTTATATTTGTCACTATATCGACGAAAATCAGCTGGACATCGGATTACCGACGACCTGTTTAAAAGAACTACTACTGAGATGTACACTCAATGTGCAATTCACATTCAACGACATTATTTACAGACAACAAGATGGGATCGCAATGGGATCTCCACTGGGCCCATTACTATCAGACTGCTTCATGGCAAGCCTCGAGAACGGCCCACTCAAATCAACCATCGACAATCTCCAGTTGTACGTTAGATATGTTGACGACATCTTTATCATCTGTGATGACGATCACAATCTCAATCAACTACTACAAATATTCAACAAATGCCATCCAGCCACAAAGTTCACTTTGGAAACTGAAAACGAATCTAAAATCCCTTTTCTTGACGTTGAGCTTACAAGGAGAGACGACGGAACTTTAAGAAGGTCAATCCATAGGAAACCGACTTGGAACGGACAATTAACAAGCTTCTACAGCTGGGTACCAATCAGTCGGAAAAGAAACCTAATTAAATCCCTTGCCACTCGCGTCAGACGCATCTGCAGCTCCGACACCATGGAAGAAGAATTAAACTTCCTGAGGGAAATCTTCATACAAAATGGCTACCCACCAAGATTTGTAGACAAAAACATCAAACAGAAAAACCAAAAGCAAGAGACAGCATCCGTGCCGAAAAAGATACTTTATATGAACCTAGATTTCAAAGGAGACCTACTTAGTGACGTCCTCAGAAGGAGAATTTCCACCTCTTTAGGAAGAACTTTCCCTGCGGCAACACTAAGAATAGTGTTCTCCAGTCGCCCGCTGATCTGCAGAAACCCAAAGGACAAGATTCCGCACATGACCACTTCCATGTGTATATATCAGTTCACCTGTTGCTGTGGAGCCAGGTACATCGGTCGTTCAACGCGCATCCTGTCAAAAAGGGTCAAAGAACACTACCCAGCGTGGCTACAGAAAGGAAATAATGGCCATATAAGGAGTGCAATAATCGAACATCTCGTCAACACTGGTCATTCCATCTCAACGAACGCCTCCTTCAACGTGATCTACAAAGTGAAGAACAACCTCCCAAAGAAAGTACGATTTCGTCTTCTTTGCATCGCAGAAGCCCTAGCCATCCAGTTGGTGGAACCAGAACTACGTATGCAAAAGAAAATTATCCAACCACTTCTACTCGCATGGTAACAACTCCGTTGATTTGACCCAACTCTTCTTTGTTTGTTTGATTTGACCTTACTTCTGTTTGTATGCTTATTTTTCTAACTTACAACCCTTGTGTAATTCTGTATATTATTTTGTTTCCATGCTCACCCTTTGAGTACAACTCATTCATCAAACTATTCATGACATTACGTAACTCTTATTTAATAATCATTTATGACAACTCATCACTTTTGTTACTACCCTCTTATATGAACATCCAATTAACCTGAACTTACTCCTCTTTAACAATCGTTTTTGACAACTCATCACTTTTGTTGCTACCCTCTTATCAACATCCAATTCATTTGAACTTACTAACCGTATTTTGTTTGACAAATTTAATGTATACACACACACACACACAAAATAACTATATATATTTGCGACTGTACAACTTTGAAAATGAATTCGCCGAAAAGAGACTCTTTGCTGAACTACTTGTCTTTTGTCTAACAATCAACACGTCAAATGAACCCTGTTTCGAATTTATTTTGAAATTGAAATAACTGTAAAACGGATAATTAACATCCTAACTATTAATGCATCTGTAGAATATCGCCAATTTGCAATTTAATTGGATGGAAGATTTCATCACGAGCTGACATCAGTTAAAGAACCATTGGAAAACCTCAAGGGAGTACTGGACAGCTGTTTCGTCCTTGTTTGGGCCTCTTCATAGCACTCATCCACCGACAGAGTTCGAACACAGGGCCTTCTGCTTACAAGGCCAGCCAGGTCGTAGACCATTAAGCCACTGGGACCCGATCCGACGGCCAACCCATGAATTCTAAATTCTCAAGTATTGGTTTGGTAGGGATTTTGTTTGATTGTATGGTTCTCTAACTGATGTCAGCTCATGATGAAATCCTCCATACAATTCTAAATTCTGCCAATTTATGACATAGAGCAACCACTTTGCAGTGTCTTCTTCTATGAGTTACTGCCTCATCTTCAACCTACTGTACTCTATTGGTTACGGCTTCCCTCTAGAATCCCAGGTCACTGCCTGAATAGGGTAAGTCGCTAGTGAGCATCAGACTAATTTTCAAGTATCAAACTAAATCCCTACAAAGCCAATCGGAAAAGAAAGAAACACTTTCATCAATGAGAAATCAATTTGGAAATCCTCTGCACTGGCTCAGTATAAACAAAAAGATTCGGAGTTTTAACACAAATGGGAAGTCAGTCAGACAGTTCTTCTATAGGGGATAGAAGCTTGGCCAGTGTGTCATATAAAGCATTTCCAACAGGCAACTGCAGACTTTTAGCACTAGCTGCCCACTTCACTAGCTCCATGCTGAAGATCAAATGGCCGGCCAGCCAGAAAGAATTTGCAGCGGGAAACTCTGGCTGGGAACAAACCAACAGGCAAGAGCCGATTGCTCAACAAATATGTAGGAGAAAATGGAGATGGATCGGGCATACATTGAGGAAACTGTCGGATGACATCAAGTGACAGGCCATCGCTCGAGTGGAATGCAAATGGTAGGCGACAACTGGGTCGTCAGTGCTAGGGTGACATGGAGGAGATCGTGTATGGGGGATGAGAGATTATGGGTAATAGTGGCCCCAGCCGAAGAGGACGGCAGAAAACAGAACAAACATGATGTGTTGTTGAATCCCTATGTTCCACTCGGAAACCAAAGGAATAATAATATACATAAGTACGCACATATTTACCTCATTTGGATATGTACTAAGGCAACTGACTTCAGAGTGTCCACACTCTTTCAGGTATCTGAATTTTGTCTGTAACGATATGAATAATTCCTGAGAATAGCTGTGATTTACAACTTTAATAGTAAAACAGTTGAGTTATTTTAACAATATTCACTTCTGCGGGATAGTGATATAGACGACAACACGTATAAATAAATCATTTGTGATTACCAGCAAGATAGATTACTCAACAATCTAACTTAAAGTACAGAGCGTTGGGAGAACCAACCTAATGGAACGCGAAGGCAGTTATGATAAGTCACAATTTTAAAGAAATCGGGAATAATGGTGGATTCTAACTAATACTGGTTGAAAAGTGCCATGATCACAACTGAAATATGACAGCATCTCAAACAAACTACAGACCTTCATTAACAGTTGTCTTCGCTCAATACTCAAGATCAGATGGCCAGAAAAGATCAGCAACAGAGATCTCTGGGTGCGAACCAATTGTGTAACAAATTATTATTATTATTGTATCCTTTAATTCCTACAGGAACATAGGGCTTCAGCCGTGAAACAAATAAGCAGGAAGAAATGGAGGTGGATTGGCCATACTCTGAGGAAACAAACCATCAAGTGACATCACTAGACAAGCCCTCGAGTGGAACCTGAAAGGGAAGCGGCGAGTTGGTCGTCAGTGCAAGGGTGACTTGGAGGAGGTCATATGAAGAGGAGATGAAAACGTGTGGGCAGACTTGGAGCCAGGTGAAGACTCTAGCAGAGAACCGAACTCAATGGAGACGCACGGCTGAAGCCCTATGTTCCTCTAGGAATTAAAGGATACAATAATAATAATCCTGTTCCCCGTCGAGGAGTAGTAACTATGCACTGAGAGAGGTATCCATATACATGCAGGTGGAATATTTGTCTAACACTTCTCAAACTAAAATAAATCTAAAATTGATCTGACTGTGAGAGATGGGACCTAATTCGGAAAGAAAACTGAAGTGTATACTTTGCGTAGAATGCATGACCTGGTCCTACACATCCTCAAAATCAAACAAGACACAGGTCATATATATATGTATGGTAAAAGTTTTCGCCGTGGACAGAAAACGTACTCAGGATCCCTTAGAACAACCTGACCTATGAAGAATTTCTCTAATTCAAATGTCATTCAGATACCCATGTTTTTATAATTTCATGGTTTTTTGCAATCCACTTAGAGTTTATCAGTTTATGTCTTTTGTTTCTGTATAAGAGGAGACATTTTTCCTGAATAGCAACTTAGTTATTTCTACAATTTTCGGTAAAGTTGTCGAATGTAATTTTTGACTGACAGATTATGGTTTGCTTGAGTGCTTGTATCAAACTACGCACCACATTTATTCTGGAAAGGCTGATGATACTCTCTTCAGTGTTCAAGCCCCAATAGGCAGAATGGGAGTTGGAACTGGAACCTACCGATCAGAAGTGGAAATGTAACTCATTGGCTTAAGAGCCCGGTTTTTAGCCAACGCTCCACCTACTTTAGCCTTGGGCAACTGGGTAATGTCATCAGCGCTAACAGGATAAGTGTGAAACTTCACCTAGTAAAGGAAAGATTTGTTCCGGATAATTGACTTATAGATTGACTGAAAGCTGGATGTTCAAGTCAATGAGCAGTGACAGTTGAAATATACCCCGGGAAAGTGGAGTTGATAACCAAAATATTATTGCGGTTAAAATTGGAAGTCCCACTCTCTACCAATTGGCATAAAAACATTATTTTGTTTTTCAAGTGTTGGTTTGTAGGGATTTGGTTGATTGGTTACAGGATTTCATCATGAGCTGACATTGGTTAGAGAGCCATTGAGAAACCTGGGAGTACTGGACGGCCATCTGTTTCGTCCTAGTTTGGGATTCTTCATCAGTACACACCCACTGGAATCCGAACCCAGGACCTTCTGGTTACAAGGCGAGCTCATATACCATTAAGCCACTGGAATCCGATCCAATGCCCAGTCCATGAATTCCAACTTTTTCCAATTCACGATATAGCGCAACCGCTAGCCAATGTCTTCGGCGAGTATTTGTCCTCACACCGGACCTGCTGCACCTTACTGGTCACGACTTCTCAGTAGAACCCCAGGTAACTACCTACCTGAATAGGGCAAGTCGCTAGTTTGTTTATACTTGAGAATACTAATCAAGAAAGAGTGTTTTGCTCATTCCTTGTTTTTTTTACTTTTGTTTTCTTCCAAAGTTTCTTATCAAATCAAAGTGATCCTGAATGGTATGAATTACACTTGGCAGTGAAAGATTATTGTTTTGGTCGAACAGATCGTCTTGTCGGTGTCACTGTCTTATCATTATCTAGAGCATTAAATCTTGGTGCAACACCAATTCGACTACCATTAGGTCGACGATTGCATTTTACTGAAACCGGATGGACAGTGTTAAGAGTTCTATCCCAGCGTGTCAACACAGATGATGTGGCCAGGGAATTTGTCCGCGCTAAATCAGAATATCGAGCTATTTCAGAGAATGATAATGTGACATTACAACAGACAGATGAATAAAGGCCTATTTAATTAATTATTATTATTATATTGCTAATATTATGCGTATATATATATATATATATATATATATATATATATATATATATGTCTACAGAGATATTTTTCCAATAAAAAAATTAAATTACAGATGAAATCTATAAATCAAGAGATTGTGAAGAGAAAAACACCCAGAGCACCTAGAGTTATATATACCATTACAGTATTTTTCACTTTTGTTCCCTTTTACTCCTTCTGAAATTCGTTATACTACTTTATATTTATATTTACATTTGTACGGACTGCAGAGAGTTAGTTCCACACAAACATACCATGTGTACACTTCACATCTCAGCGCCTTTATACATATATATACGTTGCATGTACAACTGCTTTTGTATCTGAGATAATGAAGAACTATTATGGTTACTATTATTACTATAATTATCATAATTATTATTATATGGATATTACGCACACATATGCACACACACACACGCAAACAAACAAACGAATACTTGTGCATTTAGAGGAGGAATCATGAAGTATGAATATATATATATATATAAATATAACATTTTAAGGGCTTATTACTTTCCTACGCCAAAAAAGAAGGATAGAGTTTATTTAATAATCCTGTTATAAACCTGATTGATTTATATAAAAATTTCCAACTTGTTGTATTATTCTCATTTTGTTTATTATTTGTGTAAAAATGTGTGTGTGTGAGTGAAAGAGGAAATAAAAAAGAAGAATGGATCAAAATTGTTGACAACTCTTCACACCTTATACATGTGTGGTTTCATTTCCCATTGATAAACACATATATATTTTTTTCAAGTAGTGGTTTTGTAGGGATATCGTTCGATTGATCAGAGGATTTCATCATGAGCTGACATCAGTTAGAGAACCATTGGAAAATCTACAGGGAGTACTGAACAACTAGATGTTTCGTCAGCCTAGTTTGGGACTCTTCATCAGTACGCACCCACCGGGGTGCGTACAAAATCAATACTTGAAAATTAATCTAATGCTCACTACTGACTGGCCCTATTCAGCTAGGTAGTTAGTTGCCTTGGTTTCTAGTGGGAAGCAGTGACCAGTAGGGTACTGCAGTTTGAACGTGAGGCAGTAACTCATCGAAGAAAACATTACGAAGTGGTCGCTCTATGTCACAAATTGGCTTTCACTACTCTCAAGTCTGTGTGGAGGTCAACAGCACTCAGCATCAAAAATAAGATCCGGATTTTCAACTCCAATGTGAAGTCAGTGCTACTTGATATACGGATCAGAGACTTGGCCAGCGCGTCATAAAGAGCATCTCAAACAAACTACAGACCTTCATTAACAGTTGTCTTCGCTCATTACTCAAGATCAGATGGCCTGTCGGAAAAGATCAGCAACAGAGATCTCTGGGAGCGAACCAACCCAGCAGGAACCGATTGTGAAACCAATAGGCAGGAAGAAATGGAGATGGATTGGCCATACTCTGAGGAAACCATCAAATGACATCACTAGACAAGCCATTGCTCGAGTGGAACCCGAGAGAGAAGCGGCGAGTTGGTCGTCAGTACGAGGGTGACTTGGAGGAGGTCATGTGAAGAGGAGATGAAAACGTCTGGGCAGACTTGGAGCCAGGTGAAAACTCTAGCAGAGAACCGAACGCAATGGAGACGCACGGCTGAAGCCCTATGTTCCTCTAGGAATTAAAGGAAACAATAATTTTTACTTTTTTTAAAGATGCACAACTGTTTCTATGATAATCACTCAATCGTACCATAACATATTTCGCCTTTGCTTCTTCTTAAGCATGTCTTAAACACAAAATCTCGTTCCCAACAAAATGATTATTTCCACCTATTTTGTGTGCTACTACTTATTAGTATGTTTAGTGACTATGATCCTAAGGTTAACCAATTAGACACTGATTGATATACAGTTTGAAAATTTGTATTCCTAAAGGTTTGACCTTACCCCATCATCGGACGATGAACTAACTAGGTTCAAAACGACGCTAGTTGACAGCTGCCAACAATACAAAAATAGTAGACATTCAGTAAATAGTCTGTTATATAAGCAACACAGAGAAGCTCTAAGAGAACTTAGAAGTAACGAAAGCTTAATTATTAGCAAGCCAGATAAAGGTGATGGTGTAGTTCTACTGGATAAAAGCGATTACATTGAGAAAATGGAAGGTATTTTCAGTGATCAAACTAAATTCCAATCTCTTGGTAGTTCCAAAGACCTCAATGTAAGAGCGGAGGAACTAATGACCGACTCTCTCAAAAAAGAACTGAACCAAAAGGAGTATTATCATCAGCCATTTATGAGTCTATGAAACTAACAGGTACCAATACTCCACGTCTTTACGGTCTACCCAAAGTGCGCAAACCGGGTCTTCCTATTCGCCCTGTTTTAGATATGCATAACTCTCCATTTCACGGAACAGCGAAGTGGTTAGTGAAGATTCTGGGACCTTCGCGTACAGAAATCGTGCGACATTGAATTAGTGATGTCTTCGACTTTATTTTTAAAATATCCGAGACTAATGTGCATGTTATCCATGGATGCATCATCACTATTCACGAATAGTACCAATTATGGAAACGGTAGATTACATTTGTCAAGAAATCACAGGAAGGCAGTTGGTCTTAGGAATTTCCTTTTGTAGCCCCAAAGAATTACTTCTTAAATGCACAATGAATGTTCACTTTGTCTTCAATAATTCATACTATCGACAAGTAGATGCAATAGCTATAAATTAACCATTAGGCCCAATATTAGCTGACATCTTCGCAAAACTTGAAAACGGCAAATTGAAAGATATCATCGAGGAGTTTGATATGTATTACCGATATGTGGGTGATACATCTATCTTAGCTAATAGGAATGCAAACATAGACAACTTGTTGATGAAATTCAACAGCGTCCACCCTTCGCTTACTTTTGCTTGTGAAGAGGAGCAGGATAGTAAACTACATTTTCTGGATGTCTTGCTAAGTAGGCGAGATGTGTCACTTGGGAGAAGCGTGTATAGAAAAAGCAAATTCACAGGGCAATACACACACTTCCTTAGTTACGTGCCCATTAAATATAAAAGAAATGTTGTTAAATGTCTTACGAGCAGAGCAAGAAAGATATGTACGGATGACCTCTTACAAAAGGAATTTGAATATATTCACGATTCCTTAACAGAGATGGACTATTCGAGTAGTTTCATAAAAAAAAACATATGAAAGCATCGGAGAAAAAACCGGAGACTCTGACGGCACGTAAGAAACCTCTGTTTATTAAGTTACGATTTAATGGTGACTTATCAAGTGAGATTCTATTTCAGAGACTTTCAAGGAGTATCCGAAGAATATTTTATGCAGCACACCTATGTTTGTCATTCTCTAGCCGACGAATGATTGGGACGCAAACGAAGGATAAGCTTGATAGTTTTGCCACATCTATGTGTATTTATCAATTCAACTGCACCTGCGGTGACAGTCATGTTAGGCGTACTACTAGACAGCTCAGCCAACCAACGTGTTAGTGAACATCTCCCATACTGGTTTAGCAAAGGACAGACAAAAACAATCCGTAGCTCAATTTTGTCACACTTAATTGATAGTGGTCATGTAATCGAGAAAACGAGAGCGTTCAAAGTGATTCATCGTATCCCACCGAATCTTTCCAATAGACTTCGTATTCGTCTACTACACACAGCTGAGGCAATAGGCATTTGAACTAATTAACCTAAATTATGTATTCAAAAAAAGTTCGTACAGCCTTTATCCCTCCCTTGGCCTATTAAGACGTAACCAACTAATAACTTCTACACCACCCTTTGTTTGTATTTTCATCCCCTTTCTTATCATCCCTTAATCTTATCTTCATTATAAACGTGTTTCATTTCCTTCCCTTACAATCTAACATTACTTTATCGGTTCATTTGTTTTTCTTAGCCTTTATCGACCACTTCTACCTGAACATTTGTTTGCTTAATTATGCTGTTTTTCGTTATTCGTGTTATCACGGATTGTCTCACTTTTTCATGCTTATTATTGATAAAACAATTATTACTATTATGACTACCTGCACAATTTATACTCACCATCTTATTATCCTATAGACATAACACCATGATTGGTTTATATTTGAATTTTATTTGTAAACTTATATATATTAGAGTTAAGCCTGATGACATCTAATTGAAACTACAATATTGTTCGCTTAAATGTGTTGTTCTACTTGTAAGTAGCTAAAATAATTCACCTAAGAAATTTAATGTTATCGGAGGGGATTTAGTATAAAATAGACTACAAATTCATATTTATGAAAAACAGATATGACGGATTAAAAAACCCTGGGGATTAGAATGCTTTTAAGGGAAACAGTAGGAATTCGACTTCAAGGAATAAATAATTCTTATTAATACCATTTCAAATTGCATATAAGAGCATTAAGTAGAGGTCAGGATATATCTTATTATCAGAATAGTTTTAGTTTCTACAGGAAACAGTGGTGAATTTTATCCTGAAATCGTGTGCTTTTGCTAATGGTGGACTTGATTATACGTATTACCACTTCACAACAATAGATAACCAGAATTCCAGGTGACCTCGACCGACTCAGCTCTCTTAGATGAGAAAGTCAAACCGAGTACACCACTTATATGCTCAGGTATAACCAAGCAAAACAGCCATCCGGTCGGTAGATCACTTTGATCTGACTAGTGAGCACTGTTTGTTGACCTGGGCGGTTTCTGCCTACTCATATCAACTAATAGTATGTATATGTCACCATACTATTTTATGTCAGTATTGAATGCAGATTTTAAGATATCTGAAATAAGGAAAGAACTGAATTTCTGCCCTTAGAGATAAGATTTTATTTTGATAAAATCACACAGTGTTATACAGTAATATTAACTGATGACCACGTTTCGAGCACAAATTATTACCGCTCATAATCACATCAAGTCACTAACACAGTTTTCTTCCTTCATTTATAAACATGAGTATAAACTGATTTGACATTTG